AAAGAGCATAACAGTATTTGATCACAAAACTGGCAGGATGTTCCGTGACTGTCACAAAAAACTGTCATCAACCAGCTGGAGTGAGTGAGTTTAGTTTTACGCCACTTCACTCACATGGGTCTCTAGTATGACGAGCGAATGCTTTGACCACTAGGCCATCCATCCCCCCACAACCAGCTGCAGCCAAGGACAAATTGTGCTGGAGAAATTATATACAGTGTCAAAGCACTGAACTCTTCTGTATATTTGAGTGCGACAGATTTCCTCCCCACTGTCTTTAAGCATGACAGCTTTGTGTCAAAGTTGTCTGCTGATTGTATTTAGGAATGTCAATGTACGGATCATCACTGGAGGCTTGTCCGACATAGACCTTCTGGAGGAAATATCACCAGTTGACTTGAATCATTTATGTGAACTATTTAACTCCCAACAGTCTGATTCATATAATCACAACCTACATCCTGTACGAATTGTGTCTGTGAGTCTAAATAAACTGAGGTGAGGTGAGGTGAAATTGGGTTTTACGTCGTACTTGAGAATATTTCGCTCATATGACGACGTGGATGCGTGTGTATGTGTATGTGCGGCTGCTTGTACTAGCCCAGACTTAAGCTGATTTTATAGTGCTAGCCCACTGAGATACCATGCCGCAGTGAAGCATGAATACCCCACTCAGACACATTATACTGACTCCGAGCTGACCAGTCCTTCTTGTACCCATTAATGCCGAGCGCCAGGCAGGGACCAACAAGTACCATATTTTAACGTCTTTTGGTATGACGCGGTCGGGGATTAAACCCACGACCTTCCGCTCTCCGGGCCGACGCTCTAACCACTACACCACGGAGGCGGTCAAATAAACTGAGAATCTTAGAGATGTGGATAGTATATTTTGCTAGCTGCGTCCTCCCAGTGATACTTTGTGTTTCCTCTAACACATATAGAAAGTGTTAAGTTGATGGCATTATCCTTTGTAATGGAGCCTTGCCAAACACATTGCTGAAAATCTGAGCTAATCAGTCAGTGCACTCACTCACTCACTCACAAATCAAATTATTGTTTATCCTCAGAAAAAGTGGCATTCACAGCTTTTGTTACAAGGAAAACATAGTCCTTGAAAACATATCATTATGCACCTGTTGTGATTTCTTCTGATGATCTGCAGACATAATTGTTGTGAGAAAAACACTTTTTGTTGATGGTTTTGATGGCTGACATTTAACAATTGCTGAGACAGACAGTTTTATGTGTTGAAGGTTTGTGTAGACTGCTTCTGTTTTAGTCCTGTTTATCACTGGATTATCTGGTCCAGACTCAATTATTTACAGACCACTGCCATATAGCTGGAATATTGCTGAATGCAGCGTAAAATTAAACTCACTCACTCACTCATTTTTTGTCAAGACTATAGCTTTAGCCTCTGACCCATTCAGTTAGGGCAGGCAGACCTGGGAACCGGATGTACATAGTTGTAGCGGTATGCTAATGAATATATATCACAGCAGGTTTTGAAAATACTGATATTACGTTTTTCAGGACTAAGCATATTTTTGTCTTGTTGTGTTAAGTGACGTGTTGAAATGAAATTGTGATGATCCGAAATTATCAACTTCATTGTTGTGATAGAACAATAGAAACTATTCAATACCAGTTTCCTGAATACATAATGTTTCTACGACACATGTGTTGTGACCTGAACACGGAATGTTTCTACGACACATGTGTTGTGACCTGAACACGGAATGTGTCTACGACACATGTGTTGTGACCTGAACATGGAATGTGTCTACGACACATGTGTTGTGACCTGAACACAGAATGTTTCTACGACACATGTGTTGTGACCTGAACACGGAATGTTCCTACGACACATGTGTTGTGACCTGAACACGGAATGTGTCTACGACACATGTGTTGTGACCTGAACTTGGAATGTGTCTACGACACACGTGTTGTGACCTGAACACGGAATGTGTCTACGACACATGTGTTGTGACCTGAACATGGAATGTGTCTACGACACATGTGTTGTGACCTGAACACGGAATGTTTCTACGACACATGTGTTGTGACCTGAACACAGAATGTTTCTACGACACATGTGTTGTGACCTGAACACGGAATGTGTCTACGACACATGTGTTGTGACCTGAACTTGGAATGTGTCTACGACACACGTGTTGTGACCTGAACACGGAATGTGTCTACGACACATGTGTTGTGACCTGAACACGGAATGTGTCTACGACACATGTGTTGTGACCTGAACACGGAATGTGTCTACGACACATGTGTTGTGACCTGAACACGGAATGTGTCTACGACACGTGTTGTGGCAACATACGACAAAATGGCTGATACAGTTGTCCAAAAAGTGTAGGGGAAGTCAAATGTATGGTTCCGTTTTAATTCAGATTCTTAACAATTTACAACTGAGAGAATACGTTCAATATATTGTACCACATTTTGCAATACATGAAAGAGTTTTGCAATACATTGCAATATGAAAGCCAGGCGAACTTGCATGACGACGGGGGACGTTGAATGGTGGGGTAACTCCAGGATTTATAATCAAACTTTGATTGGTTTACCTGAATGTTCTGAGACAATGACACAGTTTGACACAGGACATTTATAGCAATGTCCAGGGCTTGACCGGTAATTAGAACTGACCAGTGAGGCATCCTTCCTGGCCCTATGTTTACTCGCTGCAGGCCTATTTGAAAGCCAATTTAGAATCTAGCCTGAGTGAGTGAGTGGGTGAGTGAGTGAGTGGGTGGGACGAGTGAGTGAGTGGATTGTAGGTTGGTTGGTTTTGATGCAAGCTGGATGGATATTTATTCCTTTTGGGCTCTGTTAGTGAGTGAATGATTTTTTATGCCACTTTTGTCAGTGATATAGCTAGTGTGATTAGGCTGAAAAAGTAAGAATATTCTTTGTGATTACTTGCTATCATATGTGTGTTCGGGTTCACAGGTTGTACATCTGTGGTTTTAGTTATGGAACAAGTTGATATTCTGATTTTTTTCAAAACAAATCATCAAGTGAGTTATGTTATTATAATATTTTGTCACATTGTAGACCTATCAACAAAACCAAAAATTACAAGTTTATTATATTACGTTTGTGAATAGTCCATTGAACATTTTCACTGCATGGTTCTATATAGCATTATCAAACTAACTATATTTTCAATTCAATATGTTTATTTCAACCATCTTTAAAATAATTTGTAAGTAAAAAAAATAACATTGCTTACATACTTCAGTAAGCAGATTTGTTCCAGTCGACACCATACGTCATGTGTTTATAGGTTGCTGTTTGTTGTGTGGTTCATAATAGTGTTGATCGATCACCTGTAACAGTGGTATTGGGACATAGATGACGATCTATTGTTAGGGAATCAGTATCGATAAGGGGCTATAGATGTATTGATAAGGAAGTACTGTTTGTAAATGGGTGAGTAGGCTGATAAGGAAAGAACGGTGTGCTGGATTTTCAGTTGAAATGAAACGGTTTGCTCTATTTGATCTTAGCAGGGCAATATTGTTGTTGGAATTGATTGATCAGTGGATGAATGCAAACACAAGTCGGAATGGCCATTTTGTTTGAACTAGATTATTTATTCACCTTTTTCCTGAAAACACCCTATTGATTTGAATAAAGTTGAAAAAGGCCCATGTTCAACTTGTCATTATTGAATTTGTAGCAAGATTGGCAGCATGGATGCCGTGGATGTCAACTTAATGATTTACTGTAAGCAACATTTTGTCAAATTATTCTTTCAGTCCTTAGGTTTTCACTGTTGAATGTTGTTAGGGTAACCTGACTTCGCGTGTGAGCTGTAGATTGCCATATTGATTACATTGTTTCTTGAACTGGGAACCAGAACCCAACTGCTTGGAGAAAGGAAATATAGATTTAGTTTGTGATACTTACTTACAATGTGAAAATATAATGTTCATGTTTTCTCAGGCTCCGTTGACAGATGGCATGATAGTATCTTGAATGGGTATTAATCACTAGATTGTCTAGTTCAGGCTGGTTATTTGGAGGCCAATGTCCCACGGTGGGATTCCGCTCTGTGCAGTATGAAACATGTTATAGACAGACAGAAGAATGTAATTATTTACCTGAACTCATGTGTGAACGTGTCTGCATACTTAATAGTTTCTGTTTTGACAGTGAAAACATCGGAATGCTTAAATCGACATAATGAATGGAGCACATTAAATAATAAATGCAAAGACATGAATCCTCTTTCACTTTATAGACAGTGTGCGTTCCACCAACACGTCAAGCAGAACTGCATGCAATCACTCAACTGCTAGGTGAAGGTTTACAATACATTTTGTAAAACGTCAGTGTAAAGAAGAAAGGACTTGAGGAGGTGTCTCAGATACTCACGTCAACATGTATTTAATATTTTACATGTGAAATGGAAACAATCAATTTGTCAACAACATGTTATTTGACGACAGAGTAATAACATTTCATAGACTATATTTAAAGGGAGACTATTCATGACAGAGTAATAACATTTCATAGATTGGATTTAAAGGGAGACTAAACAGTGGGTTTTAATGACCAGTTCTAGACAGTTCCCAACATTGGCTCCCTGTGTGATATTGAAACATAGCTTAAATTGCTTTTGATCTCCAGATAAAAGGTAACAAACAAAGCACTGTTCTATCGACATGGCCCCAATTTAGCTGGGACTGCCATTTAGCCCAGTCTTAGCCTCCCTTTAAATGCTAAAACTTCCCTTACTGTTAATTTCAAATTACATTTTTTTTATATTTCCGACAGAGCAACAGACATCAGGTTTTTGGCATTTCTAGATATCTTGTTCCAGGCTCAGAATGAAGACATTATCTGTGCTTGTGTTCATTATATATAGATCAACAACTTTTTCATCTCAGGATCAAAATGCTAAAATTTATGACCAGTTGTTTATGAGCCACATTTGCAATTAAAGTTATCTCCCTTTATTTGTCCAGTGGACCGTCTGCTGGAAGAGCTCAGTAAAGGTCAGGTGTTGTCGAAGGTCAAGTCACCCACCAAGCTGTTGCAACGCAAGTTCTTCCTTGACCACCGGAACATGATTGTTCATTATGAGGGCTCACAGAAAAAACTGAGGGAGCCAAAGAATGAAAGTAAGTGATCAGACTGCCAGTCTATATGACCACACAACTGAGCCAATGATTTGTTATAAGAGCTTTTCAAAAATATTTATAAAAACGCATAAAAGAATGCATGATGATTGCAAATAATCTATTTAGGAAATAATTTGTATTTGTAAGACACATTTTAGTTAATAGTTTAGTTGATGTTACTGATTCAATTGCATGTTCTACATTTGGTAAAATGGTAAGTATCTTTCAAAAGGAGTTGGACAGCCATGTATCCCATCTCTGCACCCCCTCTGGATCCCCAAGCTGCATCCCCCTCTGGACCCTCCCTCTGGATCTCCTGCCCTCTACTCCTATCCTCTCAACTCCTCAACTGTACCCCCTTTCTGGATCCCCTAACTGACCCCCGCTTGTGAACCCCCTTGTGGATCTCCAACCCTCTACACCAATTCTCTCAATTCCTCAACTGAACCCATTTCTGGATCTCCTAACTGCATCATCTCACTTCTCTCATTGTGGAGAGTCTGAGGAAGGTCATGAGTTCGATCCCGACAGCGTCATACCAAAAGAGCGTTAAAATATGGTACTTGTTGGTCCTGCCTGGCTTCGGCATTAATGGGTACAACAAGGACTGGTCGGCTTGGAGTCAGTATAATGTGTCTGAGTGGGGTATTCATGCTTCACTCTTGGCATGGTATCTCAGTGGGCTAGCACTATAAAACTAGCTTCAGTCTGGGCTAGTACAAGCAGCGTTACATACACATACCTGCGCATGCGATGGAGTCATATGGCGAAATATTCTCAAGCCTGACGTTAAACCCAATTTCACCTCACCTCACCTCTCTCACTGTGGATCTTATAACTGAATGCCCTCTCTGTACCCATCTGGATCAGTACAAACTGTTAAAATTTACATAGAACCTCACGTGCCGTTAAGAAGGATATAAGATGAATGTTGACACCTATAAAATATTCCTGTTCAATGTACCTGTGACATTTCAGAACCATTCAGTTCCTTGAAATGTCTTCCACTTCAAAGCAGATCAGATTACATTTGATAAGAAAGTACTTTGTCCTTGAGTGTAGGCAAGTTGTTTGTGGTAAATACTTGAAGGAATGCATAAATACTGAATCATACCCTTATCAGACTTTAGAAATGAGAAACAATGAATCTATATTTATATCTTTAAGAGTGTATATATACTGATCACAAGAAATAAGTATAGGTGAAGGCCACAAGTTTGACTGGTAATTATGTTTATTTGCTTGATGTTTAATACCGCACTTGGTAAATAATCGAATTTGGGCCAGGGACACCAATCATTGAAGAGGTGAGGTGAGGTGAAATTGGGTTTAACGTCGTTCTTGAGAATATTTCGCTCATATGACTATGTGCATGCATGTGTATGTGTATGTGCGGCTGCTTGTACTAGCCCTGACTAAAGCTAGTTTTATAGTGCTAGCCCACTGAGATACCACGCCACAGTGAAGCATGAATACCCCACTCAGACACATTATACTGACTCTGAGCCGACCACTCCTTGATGTACCCATTAATGCGGAGCGCCAGACAGGGACCAACAAGTACCATATTTTAACGTCTTTTGGTATGACACGGCCGGGGATCGAACCCGCGACCTTCCGCTCTCTGGGCGGACACTCTAACCACTACACCACGGAGGCGGTCTATAATTGAAGAGGCTTAGGGGAGGGGACTGAGTGGATGAGGCCTGGGGTTTGGGGTAGGGTGTTGTTTGGGGTGGGAAACTATATTTTAGCAAAATAGTAGGAAGTCTTTTGCATGTAGTCTGTCATTTAAATACTGTATATGATCATAGATAAGCCAACCTCATAGATAAGTCGAGGCCCTAACTTGACCCTTAAAATCTGTATCAAAATGGTATGTTCCGTATGGTGTCCTGATCCTTGCTACCATAGATTAATTGTAGTCATATCAAAGAATCAGTGATCTTTAACGTCTTTTTGGTAGAACATATTTATTTAATGGCTTTTTTGGGCTGTGAGGTAGATTAGTGGTTAAAGTTTTTGCTTGTCACGCCGAAGACCCAGGTATGATTCTCCACATGTGTACAATGTGTGAAGCCCATTTCTTGTCCCCGCTGTTATATTGCTGGAATATTGCAAAAGGGCGTAAAACTAAACTCACTCTCTTAATGGCTTTTCAACTGGCTCTTAAAGCATGTTTTGCTTTGATATTTTCCTGTTTTGCTTGTTTGATTGTCATGATTGGTGGTCCTAAAGACATTGAGAGTTAATCCAGGAGCTCTCTATCTAGCTTGACCTCTGATGATGATGCGCCTGTCTGCCGTTGATGCCTTGATGGCTGCAGCTGTCTGACATTGAGTATTGTCTTGTTTCTTGTGATATCGTAGTGATCAAAGCAAGAAGGTACAATTGTCCTGGCCACCTGAAGCCTCTTATATCACCGGCTGATCTTCACACAGATTCTTCAGATGGTGTATGACTACAATATTACCGCCCCCCGAGCCTCTGTCCCATAGCGGAAAATAATCACAAGCAGATTAGGCCACAGTACATCAGTTGTTAGATTTTCATCCAAATATTTCGCAAAAAGGATGGGTAGAGATTTAAAAAAAATTTTGGTTTAAAATATATTATCTGTCGATAGATGTTATTCCCCATAATGGTATCTTTCATCAAGTTAAGGCTGCGATGCAGTAGCCTTAGTAAGTGTTTAAAGTGTTTGTTTATCTTGTCGAAGACCTGGTTCGATTCACCACATGGGTAAGGAGTGAAACCCTTATTATCTATATAATGTATTTGGAATAGGAGCCCTTCAGAGTGGCAACACTTCAAGTTGACAACTCTTGAAGATAGGGGCGGTAGCCTAGTAGTTAAAGTGTTCGCTTGTCACAACAAAGACCCGGGTTCTATTCCCCAAGTGTATACGATGTGTGAAAACCATTTCTGGTGTCCCCTGCCGTGATATTGCAGGAATATTGCTAAAATCAGTGTAAAACCACACTCAATTACGTGAAGATTTGAGAGGGTCATTAGTCACAGATCTGAACTGGACAATTTTCATAATTATCGTAGTTCTCTTTGATACAATACATACAACATGGCAATAATTTTCCTGCTGTCTGTGCAAAAACGTTATGGAAACTGACAAATTCATCATGCCACAGTCAATCCCCTTTTTTTGTTCCATGCCTGAAATGGGTCGGGTGGGCATCCATTTTTTTCATGAGCTTGGACAGGCGACCTTGGACAGGCTGACTGGTGTAGTGAGTGCTGCTTGAGGTGTCTCATACTGACTTTTGAACATGAGAACTACTTTAAACAAGAACGATAACTTTATATGAATCTGATTCAAGTAGTAATGTGTAAGTCATGCAGTTCTCTTCTTGTTATGTAAGGAATATTTATGCCTATTTATTGAAACACAATATCAAAAATATTTTGTGAAAACTTATGTAATCTAATTGTTCTCAGCTGTTATTAAGATTCCAAAAGGGCAGTTAGGTAGTGTAGTAGTTAAAGTGTTTGCTTGTCTTGCCAAAAGTCCAGGTTCAGATGTGTACAATGTGAAACCCTTTTTATGCATGCCCTGCTGTCATAATACTGGAATATTGCTCAAACTTGTGTAAACCCATACTGACTCCAAACCCTGGCACCTTTGTTGGTCTATACAACAGAACCAGGGCAGTCTTGTGAGGTACCCTATAATTGTGTATGATCATATGTCCGATATCATGTACCATACCCATCATATCGTAGCGATCCATAGCTTCACGTCTGTCTGTTCAATGTCTTCCGGCCTATAAAGGTTTGATTGAGTTAGGATTGTCCCATTTTGTTCATCTTACACTGCAAGCGTTATACTATCACCATCTTTTAATGATTCAGAATAAATTGTTAATGGTTTTATCAATATCCCTCTCTCTCCAAGTTCCTGCTACATATTTGATGGATATTTAATATCCTGTCAACAAAGGGCCTAGTGAATTTATGTATGTTAGACTGGCACCGAATCGGTGATTAAAGGAAGCATGTGTCTTGTCCCCCTCAAGTACATCAATACAATGTTATGTGGCTGTACTTCAACATGGAGGGAGCAGGGATATTTACAGTCATATTACAGGGATATTTACAGGGATATTACAGGGATATCATCGTTATGCATCCCCTGTGGGGATTTCAGGATGGAACTGTTAGAACTGATCTGTATCCTCCTGCCTGTTACAAAGTAACAGATAGTCTGTATCATTATGTCTGTAGTAACGGATGGTCTTCATCTTCCTGTCTGGAGTTACATATGGTCTGCATCGTCCTGTCTGTAGTAATGGATGATCTTCATCCTCCTGTCTGTAGTAACAGATGGTCTGCATCGTCCTGTCTGTAGTAACAGATGGTCTGCATCGTCCTGTCTGTAGTAACAGATGGTCTGCATCGTCCTGTCTGTAGTAACAGATGGTCTGCATCGTCCTGTCTGTAGTAACAGATGGTCTGCATCATCCTGTTTGTAGTAACAGATGGTCTGCATTGTCTTGTCTGGAGTAACAGATGGTCTGCATCGTCCTGTCTGTAGTAACAGGTGGTCTTCATCCTCCTGTCTGTAGTAACAGGTGGTCTGCATCTTCCTGTCTGTAGTAACGGATGGTCTGCATTGTCTTGTCTGGAGTAACAGATGGTCTGCATCGTCCTGTCTGTAGTAACAGGTGGTCTTCATCCTCCTGTCTGTAGTAACAGATGGTCTGCATCCTCCTGTCTGTAGTAACGGATGGTCTTCATCTTCCTGTCTGTAGTAACAGATGGTTTGCATCATCCTGTCTGTAGTAACAGATGGTCTGCATCATCCTGTCTGTAGTAACAGATGGTCTGCATCATCCTGTCTGTAGTAACAGGTGGTCTGCATCTTCCTGTCTGTAGTAACAGATGGTCTGCATCTTCCTGTCTGTAGTAACAGATGGTCTGCATCCTCCTGTCTGTAGTAACAGGTGGTCTGCATCCTCCTGTCTGTAGTAACAGGTGGTCTGCATCTTCCTGTCTGTAGTAACGGATGGTCTGCATCATCCTGTCTGTAGTAACAGATGGTCTGCATCATCCTGTCTGTAGTAACAGGTGGTCTGCATCTTCCTGTCTGTAGTAACGGATGGTCTGCATCATCCTGTCTGTAGTAACAGATGGTCTGCATCCTCCTGTCTGTAGTAACAGATGGTCTGCATCATCCTGTCTGTAGTAACAGATGGTCTGCATCATCCTGTCTGTAGTAACAGGTGGTCTGCATCTTCCTGTCTGTAGTAACGGATGGTCTGCATCATCCTGTCTGTAGTAACAGATGGTCTGCATCCTCCTGTCTGTAGTAACAGGTGGTCTGCATCTTCCTGTCTGTAGTAACGGATGGTCTGCATCATCCTGTCTGTAGTAACAGATGGTCTGCATCATCCTGTCTGTAGTAACAGGTGGTCTGCATCTTCCTGTCTGTAGTAACAGATGGTCTGCATCATCCTGTCTGTAGTAACAGATGGTCTGCATCCTCCTGTCTGTAGTAACAGATGGTCTGCATCATCCTGTCTGTAGTAACAGATGGTCTGCATCATCCTGTCTGTAGTAACAGGTGGTCTGCATCTTCCTGTCTGTAGTAACAGATGGTCTGCATCCTCCTGTCTGTAGTAACAGATGGTCTGCATCCTCCTGTCTGTAGTAACAGATGGTCTGCATCATCCTGTCTGTAGTAACAGATGGTCTGCATCATCCTGTCTGTAGTAACAGGTGGTCTGCATCTTCCTGTCTGTAGTAACAGATGGTCTGCATCATCCTGTCTGTAGTAACAGGTGGTCTGCATCTTCCTGTCTGTAGTGTGGATGGTCTGCATCATCCTGTCTGTAGTAACAGATGGTCTGCATCCTCCTGTCTGTAGTAACAGGTGGTCTGCATCTTCCTGTCTGTAGTAACGGATGGTCTGCATCATCCTGTCTGTAGTAACAGATGGTCTGCATCATCCTGTCTGTAGTAACAGGTGGTCTGCATCTTCCTGTCTGTAGTAACGGATGGTCTGCATCATCCTGTCTGTAGTAACAGATGGTCTGCATCCTCCCTGTCTGTAGTAACAGATGGTCTGCATCATCCTGTCTGTAGTAACAGATGGTCTGCATCATCCTGTCTGTAGTAACAGGTGGTCTGCATCTTCCTGTCTGTAGTAACGGATGGTCTGCATCATCCTGTCTGTAGTAACAGGTGGTCTTCATCCTCCTGTCTGTAGTAACAGATGGTCTGCATCATCCTGTCTGTAGTAACAGGTGGTCTGCATCTTCCTGTCTGTAGTAACGGATGGTCTGCATCATCCTGTCTGTAGTAACAGATGGTCTGCATCATCCTGTCTGTAGTAACAGGTGGTCTTCATCCTCCTGTCTGTAGTAACAGATGGTCTGCATCATCCTGTCTGTAGTAACAGATGGTCTGCATCATCCTGTCTGTAGTAACAGGTGGTCTGCATCTTCCTGTCTGTAGTAACGGATGGTCTGCATCATCCTGTCTGTAGTAACAGATGGTCTGCATCATCCTGTCTGTAGTAACAGGTGGTCTTCATCTTCCTGTCTGTAGTAACGGATGGTCTGCATCCTCCTGTCTGTAGTAACAGATGGTCTGCATCCTCCTGTCTGTAGTAACAGGTGGTCTGCATCTTCCTGTCTGTAGTAACGGATGGTCTGCATCATCCTGTCTGTAGTAACAGATGGTCTGCATCATCCTGTCTGTAGTAACAGGTGGTCTGCATCTTCCTGTCTGTAGTAACGGATGGTCTGCATCATCCTGTCTGTAGTAACAGATGGTCTTCATCCTCCTGTCTGTAGTAACAGATTGTTTGCATCCTCCTGTCTGTAGTAACGGATGGTCTTCATCCTCCTGTCTGTAGTAACAGATGATCTGTATCATCTTGTCTGTTAAGTAACGGATGGTTCGCGTCCTCTTGTCTGTAGTAGCGGATGGTCTGTTATTTAACATTGCAGTAGTATTGCTCAGTCATTACTCAATAGAACCCCTTCACTCTGTGACCCCCTGCGCAGACAAACATTATCTTGCAGACAGTGACAGACATTCTTCACATTCCAACTTCGACCAACAGATCTACTTTGGTTACACACGTGAAAGCCACTTATTTGAAAATCTATATCCTTGAACCAAACCTTTCTTGAACTAACCCTTTCTTGATTAGAAGCAATATGAAATTTGATAATCGTAATCATTTTCAGCATGCAAGAATTCAATAGATCTTAGATAATCCTGTTCTGGTTGTGATTTAATAGTGTTTGTGTTTCAGTCCGGATATCGAAGATTCGTGAGGTCCGCGAAGGAGAGAAAGACTACTCAAAGAAACTACATGGACTTGATGTAAGCACGGCCCACACAGCACGGCAAATTGATCATTTCCTGGCAGATATTGGCCCTTTAATACTTGTAAACTTAATGATTGGGCACATAAATATTGGTCCATAGTGATTATGCCGAGCAATTGCAGACCCTGCAACATGGAAGGACTGGTATAACGATGGCTTGCTGTATGATAGGTTATTACCATTCCATTATATCATGTTGTAACAAGAACTATTTCTGTCTGCATACTGTCTTGTGTAATTCAGTTTGATACAATCAGGAGTCTTATTCAGTTATCTAATAATGTTTATCGTTTAAATAACATCATACCGGTCAGTATTCTCTTGGGTTAAAGGTAGTCCAAGAATTTTATGTTCCTAACATACTAGTCATCCTTTAAAGATGTGAAATTTTGCCAAAAAGCCCCAAAAGAACTACATGTTTTTTTCCTTATTTTTATGTGCATCAACAAATTTCATAAATGATGCTAACCAATTATTTCGATGATTGATCGGTTGTAATGAACCAATCATCAATTATGAGATTTTAACCAATTCCCAACACTAATAAATCCCATACGTAATATACTAACAAAATATGCTCTGCTAGAAGTTCACATGAACGTTCGGATTATAGATGGTCATATTGTCATACATACTACCAGAAGAATGTAAACAATGTCCTGCTTAGATTCATTTCATAGGAGCAAATAACTCCATTTAAATTGAAAAGGAGCCCAAGTTTTAGTGGAGAGATTCAGAACCTGGGCCTAGATTTTCGAAGCTCTCTTAGCGCTAAGATAGCCGTAAGTGCCATACATTAACATAGACTTATGACTATCTTAGCGGTAAGAGAACTTCGGAAAAATAGGCCCTGAACTTGAAAATCTAGACTTGCTTCATTTAGGGCTGGACTGTCGGGAAAATAATGTGATTCTGGGACTGTGAGAACTGTAGAATGTCATCTAACCACAAGAGCCAAGCAGAGCCAGATTAGAATTGGTCTTCAGCAACCCATGTTTGTCGTAATAGGTGGATAACAGGATCGGGTGGTCAGACTGACTGACTTGGTTGACACATGTCATCATATCCCAGTTATGTAGATCAATGTTTATGATGTTAGTCACTGGATTGTCTGGTCCAGACTCAATTATTTACTGACTGTCGCCATGAAGCTGGAATACAGCTGTGAGGGGCGTTAAACAATAAACAGAACAAACAGACACTGACCACAGACACCATCCACCACAGGAAGTGTGCAGAGTCCTAATTATTCTTAAATGATCTACTAATAAAGTAACCATTTTCTTGTCCAGAAAACCCTGTGCCTGGCGGTGGTGATGGGGGCCAACCACAAGGTGGTGTACCTCATGGCCCAGCGACAGGAGATCCGAGACATGTGGCTGCGCGGTCTGCGGTACGCCATCCAGAAAGACAAGCTGGCAGAGCAGCGAAATGAGACAGACAGATATCCTTGGAGTATGGACGGACGTATGTCCTTGTGTTCATGAATAAGGCTTGAGTACTGTATTCAGGAACAATCTTGAAGGCACCAGCAAACTTAATTCACAAGCCGCATTGTGCAAATGTCTTTGAACCAATGTTTAGGGCTTGAGCAAAGTGTTCATGAGCAATCTAGGAGACATGAAATCATGACGCTTTTTATGGATAACGACTTCGGTTTTTCTTTTATCATGACATTTCAAACAGAGCTTATTCTGACGAAGGAGCAAGAATTAGCTCTGAAACTTTGTGATAAGGAATAAAAAGAAGATGTCATCCACAAAAAAGTGTCATGTGTTCATGTTCATACAGCTTATCAAAGACATAAACTTGGAGACACTGAGAACCTTGGTTCACAAGCTACATTGCTCAGCTGAACTTGAGTCAGAGAGAGAGGGGGTACCTGTTTCAAACTGCAAGGGTACACTAGTACTGGGTAATCGATTCTTCCCTCCTGTTGGACTGTACCAGATCTGTTCCAGCTGAACAGTGACAGATAACAGTACAAATCTCTGTAACTATGGCTAATGACTCCTTACTGATGCTTGTTGTTGTCACTGATGGTGCCACCATGAAGGTGTGGGATAGAAACAGTCTTTTGGTATTGGTAATAATTGATGTGGTTGATGCATGCTTGTACTGTCAATCTTGAAATATACTACCCATCAAAAGTTTAGACTCACTAGTGTAAATGTAGCCACTTACTTGTCCACTGTTCTAAACTAGCTTTTTGCAAAATATTCCATACTGTTTAAAGGTACTGTTTAGTTATGAACTGGTGTATTGTAAAACATATTCGTAACATTGAAAAGATTATTGTCATGAGTTCAGTAAATGATTAAAATCTGTGAAAATTGGCGAATTCTTAACAAAACTTTACACCAAAACGAATCTGTTCACATGCACGACATTTGCTCATGCCTTTCGCAATTTTGGAGCATCATCCTTGTGCAATTCATCTGCATAAGGTTTTCAGTTGGTTCTCCCAAGTTGGTGGAGAAATTCATCTTCGATGTAACCACATACATATACATAACATATAGTGAGTGCTTTAAGTGAGTCTAAACTTTTGATGGGTAGTATATCTTGTTCAGACTCATTATGTACAGACAGCAGCGCAAAGCTAGAATATTGCCCAGTGTGGTTTAAACAACAAATAAAGACTGTTCTGGTGATATAGTTATGGACTAGGCACAACTCAGTCAACTGTGTTGGTGCAAAGAGAAACTTCATAGTTTGTTGAGTAGGAAATTTGATAGTTTGATTGTTGGGTAGTTAGGGGTATCCAGTTATACCCCTGCAGAGAAATAGTGTTGGAAGGAAACAGACTGTTGGAGGATTAAAAAGTCCTGTTGTGATTATAAGTTAACTTGGTTTTAACAGATAAGATCCTCAACAATTGAAGATCGAGTTGAAATCTTTTAGAATGGTAATTTGCTGTCATTTAAAGGTGATTAAATGATTACAACATGTATTTTGACAGTGAATAGTGGAACAGTTAAATTACCTAAAAGTATGTATTTTGGTGGTGCTTGTTTTGACCTTGACCTTGACACATGGGTGCGAGAAGCATTCAACATGGCCGACAGAAATGGAGATGGAGCCTTGGACTTTGAGGAAGTGATGAAACTCCTCAAGCAGCTGAACGCAGATCTGAAGAAGGACTACGTCAAGCAGATGTTTGATGTAAGAACAGCTGGGTCTTCTTGAACTATGTCCTAACAGTGACGTCCTTGTGATGTCCCATCTGTGTCTGTGTCACTGTGTTGTCAGAACCTATGTGACCGTACCGTCCCAAAGCTAAGTTAAGAGTTTGAGAAAAACGATTCCAAAGCCAATTCCAGTCATAGCTTCCCAAAAGAGTTACCATCAGTGTATGGTGAAATACTCTTTGGCTGTCCTCACACATTGATCTGATGCTCCATATATGAAGTATGCTCCTTCAACGAGGCCAGAACTCAAACTCTTGATATGAAATATGCCCATAGGCTATTGGGTAAAGGACAGGGTTAAATGGTGTCATTTAAGTATCTAAAAGGACGTCAGTAAGTTCACTTCCACATGAATCATGTAGTTATTGTTCAGGCTAGCTATTCTCGGAATGTTCGTAGCCCTATGAACTTCTTAAGCCCATTCTCAACACATTGGCTACGATCAAAGTTAAGAATTCTTGACTTTCTTCTTGTAGAAGGCAGACACGAACAAGAGTACCAAAAGCAAGGCTGTCCTGGACAGGAACGAGTTTGTCAATTTCTACCACGCCTTGACGCAGAGGCCAGAACTGGAGGAGATATTTCTTCGGTATGTGTCAGAGAATAGTTTCTCTTGTAGGGGAATTTGGTTGGTGTCATGTGGATGGGGGGTGGTGTCATGGGTAGGTGGTGTCATATTCGGTAGTGGGTATCATGGTATTGGTGGAAGGTGTGGTATTGGGTGGGTGGTGTGATATTGAGTTGGTGATGCTGTAATGGGTGGATGGTGTTGAGGTATGGGTGATGTCGTAATGGGTGGATGGTGTTGATGTATGGGTGATGTCGTAATGGGTGGGTGGTGTCGAGGTATGTCGTAATGGGTGGATGGTATCGAGGTATGGGTGATGTCGTAATGGGTTGATGGTGTCGAGGTATGGGTGATGTAATGGGTGGATGGTGTAGAGGTATGGGTGATGTCGTAATGGGTGGATGGTGTCGTAATGGGTGGATGGTGTAGAGGTATGGGTGATGTCATATTGGGTTGGTGAGGGTGAGAAATGTGTTAGTGAACTTGAGGAAGTGGAAGATGGTGTTGAGTGGGTGGACTTCAACATGGTGTTGAGAGATGTTGGTGGGTGGTGTTTGAGAGATGTTGGTGGGTGGTGTTGAGAGATGTTGGTGGGTGGTGTTGAGAGAGATGTTGGTGGGTGGTGTTGCGAGATGTTGGTGGGTGGCGTTGAGAGATGTTGGTGGGTGGTGTTGAGAGATGTTGGTGGGTGGTGTTAAGAGATGTAGGTGGGTGGTGTTGAGAGATGTTGGTGGATGGTGTTGAGAGATGTTGGTGGGTGGTCGTGGGTGGTGTTGATAGATGTTGGTGGGTGGTGTTGAGAGATGTTGGTGGGTGGTGTTGCGAGATGTTGGTGGGTGGTGTTGAGAGATGTTGGTGGTTGGTGGGTAGTGTTGAGAGATGTGGGTGGGTGGTGTTGAGAGATGTTGGTGGGTGGTGTTGAGAGATGTTGGTGGATGGTGTTGAGGAAGTTAAACTTGGTATCGAGACGTGAGTGGTGTAAGGGTATGGACTAGGTGGTCTAGGGCTCTTGTGGAGATAGACTGGACATGCTATTCCAATCCATGGCAAATATCACTTTTTGAAAGTCGTTTGAGAATGAAAACTTGCATTGTTGACTCATGACATTCCTGGGTGTAACCCTTTCTCACTGTGACTTATCTACTCTGCAGATACACTCGAGGAAAGGCCTATTTGACAGTGCGAGATCTGCTGTCGTTCCTCAGGGAGGCACAGAGGGTGAGACACTTCTCCAGAACAACTGACTACTCAACTGTCACAACAATCAATGAAGTTAGAACTGTAGAAGCATCTCACACTGCCGAAGACATCAGGTTTTGCCTGGGTTATCTCCCTTGTTTCTGTTGTGTGCAGTTGTAAATTGTGTGTTTCAGATGATGGACGCTGACGAAGAAACATGTCGCACTTTCATCCAGACACATGAACCCCATTCTGTGATGAAGCAGAGGGACCAAATGTCCATACAAGGTAGGTGTATATCTGTCCATAGCTGGTAGTCTATATAAGGATGTACAGGGTAGTGTATATCCGTCCATAGAGGGTAGTGTATATAAGGATATACAGGGTAGTGTATATGAGTCTATACAAGGTAGTGTATATCCGTCCATAGAGGGTAGTGTATATAAGGCCATACAAGGTAGTGTATATCTGTTCATAGAGGGTAGTGTATAAAAGGCCATACAAGGTAGGTGTATCTGTCCATAGAGGGTAGTGTATATAAGGCCATAGAAGGTAGTATATATCTGTCCATAGAGGGTAGTGTATATAAGGTTATACAAGGTAGTGTATATTGTCCATAGAGGATAGTCTCTATAATTCCATACAGGGTAGTGTATATGAGGCCATAGAAGGTAGTATATATCTGTCCATAGAGGGTAGTGTATATAAGGCCATACAAGGTAGGTGTATATCTGTCCATAGAGGGTAGTGTATATAAGGCCATAGAAGGTAGTGTATATCTGTCCAAAGAGGGTAGTGTATATAAGGCCATACAAGGTAGTGTATATCTGTCCATAGAGGGTAGTGTATATAAGGCCATACAAGGTAGTGTATATCTGTCCATAGAGGGTAGTGTATAAAAGGCCATACAAGGTAGTGTATATCTGTCCATAGAGGGTAGTGTATATAAGGCCATAGAAGGTAGTGTATATCTGTCCATAGAGGGTAGTGTATAAAAGGCCATACAAGGTAGGTGTATCTGTCCATAGAGGGTAGTGTATATAAGGCCATAGAAGGTAGTGTATATCTGTCCATAGAGGGTAGTGTATATAAGGCCATACAAGGAAGTGTATATCTGTCCACAGACGGTAGTGTATATAAGGCCATACAAGGTAGGTGTATATCTGTCCATAGAGGGTAGTGTATATAAGGCCATACAAGGTAGGTGTATATCTGTCCATAGAGGGTAGTGTATATAAGGCCATACAAGGTAGGTGTATATCTGTCCATAGAGGGTAGTGTATATAAGGCCATACAAGGTAGTATATATCTGTCCATAGACGGTAGTGTATTTAAGGCCATACAGGGCAGTGTAGATAAGGTCATTCAGGGTAGTGTATATAAGGCCACAGAGGGGAGTGTATATTGGAAACATTACAGAACTGTTGATACTTCTATCAAGGAACAGAGACATGTGACTGGTCTCCTGTGATGTGTTTAGTATTTGGTATAAACGAGAGTGGTGCCAATGTTGCAGGTTTCCGGGTGTTCCTGTCCTCCGACAAGCAGCAGCTGTTCAACCCCGAACACAGTCGAGTTTACCAGGACATGCAGCATCCAATGACACATTACATGATAGCATCGTCCCATAACACGTGCGTACCAAACAACGGTCATCACACTGCAGTATCATTTTATAGGAATTATAAGTTAATTTTTCAAATTAACTAAATTGCAGTACACATAGAGCCCTAAGCAATGTAATTGGTGCAAACAAGGATTTGAACCCAGAATAATTAGTTTTGGTTGTACCCAAGGGATGTAACTCTGCACCCTTGACCATCATTTCCATGCCATTCCAGTGGAACTTACATCATGGCTCTGTTAAGGTGCCTTGCAGTTCAGACAGAACAGAAGCAATGAAACGTGTGTTGCTTTCAAAGTAAAATGAAAGTATGTGGTTAAAATACCTCTGAATAAAAACAAATGTAAGGTAAAAGTCCTTACTTTTGAGCATTTTAATGAATTTTTCACCAATCTGATGAGAGAACTTAGTTTAGATGCTAGATATTTTTACTTCGTCCAATTACCATTAGTTGTACTGGGTGTTGCAGGTACCTATCAGAGGACCAGCTGAAGGGCCCCAGCAAGGTGGAGGCTTACATCGCGGCCCTCACCAAGGGATGTCGCTGTGTGGAGTGTGAGATAATCTATTATTCAACCTCTGTCGAAGCTAACAGAAATACAATGTTCTTTGACACTTCTCCAACTAAACTACATTTAAGAAACACTTAAAAACTGCTGTTTTTGAACATATTCTTCATCAAACCACAAGCACATCCAATGAACAGCAGTTAAAACAACATCTCAGCTGTCTAAATGTTCTTGAACTTCATTTTCTATTAATTCTTTGAACTGGACTGACTGACTGACTGACTGACTGAGTTTGGTTTTGTGCCGCTTTTAGCAATATTCCAGCAACATCACGGCGGGGGACACCAGAAATGGGCTTCACACATTGTGCCCATGTGGGGATTCGAACCTGGGTCTTCGGAGTGACGAGCCAACGCTTTAACCATTAGGACACCCCACCGCCCCTTAAAAAAACACGTCTACAGCACCGGGAATTCCCAGGCGGTCACCCATCCAAGTACAATCCCGGCCCGACGGGGCTTAACTCCGCGGAGCAGACGAGAAGCGGTGTTTTCACAGTGGTATGGCCGTAGACTTTGAACTGGATAGATGCTTGTTTAAACAGCAAAAGCTTTAACGTCATTGTCTTTTGCTTTAGCTCACCTTGTCAATAATCAGGATGCTTTGAGCCCGTGTTGTACTAGCTCCATCTCCATGTACAGAAGGATGCTATGTTCCTGTAGACGATGTCTTGTCTTGTAGTGGACTGCTGGGACGGGCCTGACGATGAACCCATCATCTACCATGGTTACACCCTCACCTCCAAGATCCTCTTCCGTGACGTCATCATGGCCATCAAAGACTATGCCTTCAAAGCATCTCCGTGAGCAATCTAATTCAACAATATTACCTGAAAATGAATGAACTGATCAATTTGTAGCTCACCTTTGCAATTGATCGAAATTTGATTTTAAATAGATTTGTTACATTCATCTTCAAGGAATTTCATCAAAATTCCACTTTTACAAGACATGATACAGTACAATAATGACCAATAACCTGTTGTAAAGAGCTTACATGATAACACTTCTGTGATGGTGCACAGATCAGTGGATAAGGGGCCATATGTGTTAGCCATTTTTGGAAACAGATGTAAGAAAAGACCTATGTTGAGTATTGGTGAAATATGTTGGGACTAGTGCCTGGCACAGTTGTGCTGTTGTTTGACAATACCCAGTAAGTTGTCTGTGTCAAAGTCAGTCCCCAGCAACCTGTGCTGGTGTTAAGGGTGACCAAGTGGATTGGATGGTTGGGCTCGGTGATTTAGTTGATAGTAACCTGAATATTTGGATTGTTGCTTGTGAAATTGACCACTAGAATGCCTGTTCCAGACTCATTTATGTACAGGCCACTTTCGTGTAGCCGGAAAATTGCTTTTAACAACACACACACTCTCTCTCCCCATCCCTTTCTCTCTCTCTCCCTTGCTCTCTCTCTTACTTCTCTGTCTCTCTCTCTCCCTCTCTTCCTCCTCTCTCTCTATGTCTCTTCCTCCCTCTTTTTCTCTATCCCTCTCCCTCTCTTACTCCTCTCCTCTCTCCTTCCCTCTCCCCCTCTGTCTCTTTCTCCCTCCCTTCTTTCTCTCTCCTCCCTCTCTTCTCTTACTCCTCTTTCTCTCTCTCCCTACCTCTCTCTCCCCTCTTTCTTTTTCTTTCTCTCTCTCTCACACCCACACACTTTGTGACACTGGGTAGTGCCGTATTTCAGTATTTGCTTGTCATAATGAAACCCAATTTCCTCACTCACACACTGTTGCAGGTACCCTCTGACTCTGTCCCTAGAGAACCATTGCTCCATTGACCAGCAGAGAGTGATGGCCAAACACCTGACCGAGATTCTGGGTGGTATCCTTCAACGTGTACAGGGACCAAGTAGTTCACCCATCACATCTGATGTCGGGAATGAAACATACAACTTTATGGATGACAACTTCTTATTTATTGCATAGACCAATGTTTCAATGTAGATTCTTACGCTGTTATCAAGCTAAAACGTTTAGCTCTATGCTCTACACTCTATGCAATAGATATGAAGTTGTCATCTATATAGTTGTATGTGCCATTTTTGACTCACCAACTTCTAGAATGCCGATCAAACAATAAACTGACAGGGTTTATTGCATGTATTGAGCAGTGTTGTGCTGTTTGTGCTGGATAGCGTTGAGTAGTATACACAATGGGGCTATGGGACCAGTTCTCCCCCCAATTTAAAAACTTGAGCTTTTGAGCAGTCCCTAATCCCGTAGCCCCATTGTGTATACTACTACTGAGGTGCATGCAAAATTTGATGAAAATCGGTCGAATAGTTTCTGAAATATTGACTTTTGCGTTCTTGCAAACGCAGTCTTTGTGTTGGAGGTAACCAAACACGTATATATCGTCTACGAATGTAGGTAGACGCCGGCGATATTCGACACAAGATTGCTGTCTCTAATTGGAAATTTGTTGGGGGGGGAATGCAAAAAGGTAGTACCAATCCTGGTAGTCCTGACCATTTTTGTGCTCTCGATAACTTTCAGACATCTGTAGCCTCGCTAGTCAGCTGGTCGTGCATCATCATCATAGCCGAGCCGAGACACACTCGTCCAATGCGCTCGCTCAAAGCAACCCCCGAGACGGTAGCGAGGTGATGACTTCCGAGACCTGTGTTTCATTCAGCTAAAAACACCTCTCGCCTCGATAATATATAACAAGTACGACAATACGTTGGATTGTTAGCCTTTCGCCAGACCGACCCCATGCTCACTAAAAAGTGTTTATTTCCTAAACTATTTGACCGATTTTCGTGAAATTTTGCCTGCATCTCGGTAGATGGTTACGCTATAGCAAAACGGCATTGGGAACACTCTCGATGACTTCATTAGATAAATTAAGACTTAATTACGACAAACAGTTGGACATTTTGCCTTTTCCCGACCGACCCCATGCTCACTTAAAAGTCAATATTTCAGTAACTATTTGACTGATTTTCATCAAATTTTGCATGCATCTCAGTAGTAGTATACACAATGGGGCTACGGGATTAGAGACTCCTCAAGGGCTCGATTTTTTAAATTGACAAAAATCCGTAAAACAAGAAATAAAATTGGTCTGGCCTTATAAACTTTTTTTCCATAAAGTATGTTCATTCCAGAGACTAGTTCTTGGTCTAGCCTACTTATTGACTGCTGAGTTATTGACAGGAGTAAAATAACATTCACACAGTTTTGTTGATGTCCAGACAATGTTTGTTTGCCCTTACATTACTGTCAGACATGTTGTGGTACCCGGAGGGAGACCTCGACCACACACCCACCCCACACCAGCTGAAACACAGGATCCTCATCAAGGTAAGGGCTCACCTGGTTTACATAGCTCACCTGGTTTACATAGCTCACCTGATCAACAGATTGTTTTAAGAATTATGGGAAGACTTATTCAGAGATATGTGAACCTGCATGAAATGTTGTCTCATTAACAGTGTAGTAATTAGTGGTGATTAGAGTTATACTGATGGATAAAAGTAAGGGAACACTTACCATTATTGCAGATGAACGTTTTTGCTTTCTTCAGTAATGCTTCATACTGGCATATTAACATATTGTGTTACTCAATGACATTGCCAGCACGCTTCAGTCAACATGCAATCATGTTCAACTAATGCTTTGTTTAATATACGTTTGCCCACATGGGTACAATGTGTGAAGCCCATTTCTGGTGTCCCCTGTCGTGATATTGCTGGAATATTGCTAAAAGAGCGTGAAACCATACTCGCTCGCGCTTAATATATGTTCCCTTATTTATATCCATCAGTATATATCCATTCATATCCATCAGATAACAGTAGTGAGACACATGCACACAATTAATTTTGATAATGACTCTCCCATCTCAAACTCAGTGACTTCTAAAAGTTCTAATCTTAGATAATTATCAGAATGCAGAAAACTATATTTGACCTCAGTGATACAGGGTTGGGTGGTCAGGCCAGCTGACTTGGTTGACCATGTCATCGTATCCCAATTGCGTAGATCGATGCTCATGCTGTTGATCACTGGATTGTCTGGCCCAGACTGGATTATTTACAAACCGCCGCCATACAGCTGGAATATTGCTGAGTGTCGCGTAAAACAACAACCAACCAACCCCGGTGATAAGACTGTCAGGGAGTGGTACCACTTCTTGTAAAAGTGTTCAAATACTAAATATCAACACCAAATAATGAAAAGCTGTGAAATTAATATAACTGAATCACTTATTCAGCATGTTCACGAAAAGGGTAAGCATGTCCTGTAAGAGTGAGTGAGTGACTGACTGACTGAAACTTTAACGTCACCTCGGCAATTTGTCCTGTAAGAAACATGGTGTGCAGGGGTATATATGTTGATGGATTTCAACTACTGTTACTGAGGTCAAAACCAGTTTATTCTCTCGTATCACTGTCTGTCTTAGAGTTTGAAAAATATATAAAAACAAATTCTGTGTTTCATACATTTGAACACTTGATGATTATATTTGTTAAGGCTTTTATTCTGAAAGATCTTTAATCTCAGTTGACCATGGTGACTTAAAATCTTAACTCACTCACTCACTCAGTTGACCATGAATGACACATTTCTGCTCAGCCTCTCGGCATGTCAACAACAATAATTGAAAAATATTTGGAACTTGGTCTGGTCTATTTTAGTATGAATTAAAGCCATCCGTGAATGATTCTTTTCCTTTGTGGAATGAACAGGCTTTGTGGAAGTTCTGCCTCCATCTTCCTTGTATCTCACCCAGTTGTTTCATGTTTGTCTAGGATAAACGACCAGTAATAGTACGTAGCTACACCCGAGTGGCCTTTGTTTTCCTATATTGTACAGCAACTGTGTCATCGCTCTAGCTTACCTGGGTCTGAGCCCTTGTGTGAGGTTGCTGTGTGGTCTTTATCGCTACTTGTCGCTGCTGTCATGGAAACAGGACAAAGAGCTCATTGCTGCCTAATTCTACACATTACGATTAATACCAGTCAGATTGATAACACCGTCAGATCTGAACTGGCAGGAAAAGTGGTATTTAGGGACTTCGGTCAAATTCATTGGGACTGCCAAATAACCCAAGCCTAGCGACCCATTAAGAGAGTGTTACTGAAGATCTAAGTGTGGGTGGCAAGAGGTTTGTACAGATAGAATTTGTTCAAAATACAAATGTACAAATATATATTTTGTTATATGCATAATGAACTATGTCACGTCAGGTGCTCTCAGTTAGACTGACTGACTGAGTTTGGTTTTACGCCGCTTTTAGCAATATTCCAGCAATATCACGGCGGGGGACACCAGAAATGGGCTTCACTCATTGTACCCATGTGGGGATTCGAACCTGGGTCTTCGGCCTGACGAGCCAACGCTTTAACCACTAGGCTACCCCACCGCCCCAGCTCTCAGTTAGAAGCTGTGTGGACAACGTGTGCTCAAGACAACATTTGGATATTTCCAGCTGCGTAGCCGCTCTCATTTCAAAATGAGTGTGAGAAGACCATTAAATATTCCAGATAGCCATTTTCTTTAATTTTCATTTACATTTATTTTGAGATATAGAATTACTTTTGCTTTGCAAAAAAAGGCTGTTTCTTCCAAATTGTTGGGATTTCTCCCCAAGAACTATCCCTAATGTTAAACTGCTAAACTGATCAGGGAATGGCTGGGTTCAGTTCTTTGTCTAAATGACTTGTGTTAAAAATGCATAAATGTTTTTTCTAACAATTCTAAGGAGGTTGAATATTGAACCAGTGCCCTTTATCTGTTTGAGCCAACCTCATGACTGGATGTCTGCAGTAGAAGGTTGATAAATCTGAATATGATGAACATGAACATGACAATTAATCTGTTCCATTATTGTCTAAATGTTTTCTGTTTTAAAAAAAATATATTCATGAATACGTAAAATTCAATAATGTCATTTAATCACCTTATTTGTATGACTGCACTACTCTAAGATTAAAAATTATTTTATGTCACCTTATTAAAAATGATACGTTTAATGTATCTCAGCAGTGTTTGTATTCACTCACATCATCATTGACAAATCATTAACAAAGTAGAAACACATGAATATAAGTTCCTGCAACAAACTTAGGTCCTACTGGCGTCAGAAGTATGGTCTTTGCGTTTTCATCGATTATTATGCTCATTTTGAAACTGTTTTCTACCCCTTTCCAGTTCTGTAGAAAGGTAGTTTTTGGTTGTGTGTAACCAACTCACTAACATGCATCGCTTGTGTATTATTTGTCTTCACAGGGTAAGACATTGGCATCAACTCGTCTAAAGGTAGATCAAATGACAATAATGTGTTTGTTTGTTGGTTTAATGCTTGTTTACACCATTCGTACTCCGTTTACATTCATTTCATAGTTAACAAAGTATTATAGTCAGCAGTTTAATATTGTATATTTTTTGTACATTTTTTGGTGTTAGGTTTTTATCAAACATCACTAATATTTTGATTTCAGTCCGTTTATATTTTGTTACATAAAATATTTTATATTTTTCACAAAGAAATATGGATTTTGTCAAGTTTGTTTTCTTTGTGATTCATGCACGAGAGAAATGTAATTCGTCATTTGTGAATCTACACACTTAATGTTTGATAGAGGATAGTGTTTATAAATGTTTGATAGAGGATAGTGTTTATAAATGTTTTAAGTTTCACTTGTAGGTTAGGAGTTGTACAAGCACCCTGCATAAGTGAAATTCGTTTTTCAGCATATCTTGCCACACCAATATGCACCTTAAGCATTTTCTCAAAATATTCCAAACCTAGCTTACAATTTTCTGCTTTTTACCTCTGGAACAGCCTTCAGTTGCCACATGACATAAGGCTGTTGTACTGTTGTTGTGCCTATCATGGTGTATATACATGTACGATTGTACCGCGGTTGAAGTTTATTGCATATTTCACTCCAGGCCAAATGTAGGGATGCTCAGAATATGTGTTATAAGCTTTTTTGTCAGAGCAAAGCTGCTTTTTTTGTCTTTCTTTCAGTGTAAAGGGATTACATATGCTTTTTGAACAAACTTGCTCAAAACATGTTTTTATTTAAAATCTGAAATGTTCAAAAATGAGAAATGTAAGATGTTGTAAGTCTTGTGGAGACAAGGAGATATCCACGTGTCTTTGTTTTACAGACAAACAGTTTGACATATTGGATAACTATTCTATAAAAGTGTTTGGAGAACTAGAAATTTAATGTCATAAAATCCATATACATAGCATACAATCATGATTATTGCATTCAAGTTTATACCATGTTCATGGTGCAAATTACTTGATTTAAGATTTAGTCCATTATGAAGATTTGTCAGATGCCCTGGAAAACATTATGTAGACAATTATTGATACTGGGATTTCTTTTCATTCATAAACTCATTATTTGTATGTGTTGATAACAATAATGTTTAAAATATGTGTTTTAATTTGAGCATACTTATTATTTACTGGTGATTGTATTATTAAAGATAATATTAAACTTGCATTTTTGTACTTCTCACCCCCATATAGAACACTGCTTGTAGATCTATGACATAATATTGTGTGCATTTGCTTCCTAACACGAGCAATATCATCTACATCCTTCCGCTATCATCTTCATGTACTGTGGCACATAAATACACCTAACAAATGTTTAGTACTCATTCCTTATTCTTTTGGGGCAGAATATGCTTTTCATAAAAGTGAAAAGTAATATAATTGGTGGTTTCAAAATGTGACCGAGCTGATTTTTGAACAGAGGGACTCACCGGTGAACGTCCGGGTTAGAATGAACCTTCAGTAACCCATGCTTGTCGTAAGAGGCAATGAACGGGATCGGGTGGTCAGGCTCGCTGGCTTAGTTGACACATGTCTTCGGTTCCCAATTGCTCATGCTGTTGATCACTGGATTGTCTGGTCCAGACTCGATTATTTACATGCCGCCTCCATATAGCTGGAATATTGCTGAGTGCGGCTTAAAACTAAACTCACTCACTCACTCACTCACAGAGGGACTCATGTTATCTTCTTACTTCTTATGCTACTATTAACAACCATTTTGTCATGCTGTAAGCGTAACAGATAATATGTTGCTATAATGATTGCAAACAAAGGAAATACAGTTGAAGATGGTGTTTTATAAATGTTGCTTTAGAGCTTTTGCTTTAATCATTTTGTTCTATTGTAAGACTTGTTTCTTCCTTTTATTTGTTTAAAACTTGTTTGTTTCTATTTTGTTTACATCTTAGTAATGGTTGACAATGACATTTATAGAACAAGAAATTAGAAAGGGCCATGACGGTTGTTCCACTATGGAAACCATCCATGTTTATACTCACTTATGTAACTTTTACAAGATGATAACTTCAGTTACAACATATTTGCTTTCTATGTTATCTCACTGGTGCTGAATAAGTTCCTCAGATTATGTCGGCACTAAAAGTGATGCTGGTAAATATTGGCAACAATGTAAACATGCCAGGCTGCAGATATGGATAACCTGACACACACAGTTCTACACACAGGATACAACACAATCATCACGTCACAATGGTCATGACACTATTATGACATTCCAACTCTCTACAGACAGGGTACAACACAATCATGACGTCACAATGGTCATGACACTATTATGACATCCTAACTTTCTACAGACAGGGTACACCACAATCATGACATCACAATGGTCAAGGCACTATTATGACATCCCAACATTCTACAGACAAGGTACATCATAATCATGACATCACAATGGTCATGACACTATTGTGACATCCAAACTTTCTACAGACAGGGTACAGCACAATCATGACATCACAATGGTCATGACACTATTATGACATCCAAACTTTCTACAGACAGGGTACACCACAATCATGACATCACAATGGTCATGACACTATTATGACATCCCAACTTTCTACAGACAAGGTACATCATAATCATGACATCACAATGGTCATGACACTATTATGACATCCCAACTTTCTATGGACAGGGTACACCACAATCATGACATTACAATGGTCATGACACTATTATGACATCCCAACTTTCTACAGACAAGGTACACTATAATCATGACATCACAATGGTCATGACACTATTATGACATCCCAACTTTCTACAGACAGGGTACACTACAATCATGACATCACAATGGTCATGGCACTATTATGACATCCCAACTTTCTACAGACAGTGTAATTACAATCATGACATCACAATGGTCTACAGACAGGGTACACTACAATCATGACATCACAATGGTCATGACACTATTATGACATCCCAACTTTCTACAGACAGGGTACACCACAATCATGACATAAAAGACGTTAAAATATGGTACTTGTTGGTCCCTGCCTGGTGCTTGGCATTAATGGGTACAACAAGGACTGGTCGGCTCGGAGTCAGTATAATGTGTCTGAGTGGGGTATTCATGCTTCACTGCGGCATGGTATCTCAGTGAGCTAGCACTATAAAACCAGGTTAAGTCTGGGCTAGTACAAGCAGCCAGACATACACACGCATGCACGTTGTCATATAAGCGAAATATTCTTTAGTAGAATGTTTAACCCATTTCACCTCACAATATAAACATGAATACACTTTCTGTTACTGCACTGAAATAACATAGAAAGCAAAAAGTCTTTTGTTGCCTGTGAAAAAGGGTAAGGATTAATGTTGGTTATATTTTGAACTAAATATTGTGAATTTATCATCTTTGGGATGAGGTGGGAGTAATTTTAACAAGTACAGGTGAGTTTACTCAGTCACTGTTTGGGGAGGCTGCTTTTTCAAGTGATTTAGGCACACAAGGTGGCATTGCTGGTCGCTTGAGAAGATTCCAACTTCGCTTGTGTTGATCCCGTTGTGTTATTGCAGGGGAAGAAGCTGCCCACAACAACTCACGACAACGACGATGTAAGTGACGAGGAAGATGGAGAGGGCGATGTGAATGAGAACACAGAACAGAAGGAGCAGGAAAAGAGCAGCGGACACAAACACATCAAGCTGTGTCAGGAACTGTCCCGCATCACCGGCATGACCAGCATCAGCTTCAAGGACCCAGACCAGGCTTCCACCTCAGGTACAGGGAACAAGTGATGGAGAGAAGGCCTTAGGGAGAGAGGAGGGGTGATGCAGGGAAGGGCTTAGGGAGAGGAGAAGGGTGATGCAGGGAAGGGCTTAGGGAGAGGAGGAGGGGTGATGCAGGGAAGGGCTTAGGGAGAGGAGGAGGGGTGACTCAGGGAAAGGGCTTAGGGAGAGGAGGAGGGGTGATGCAGGGAAGGGCTTAGGGAGAGGAGGAGGGTGACTCCAGGAAAGGGCTTAGAGAGGAGGAGGGGGTGATCAGGGGAAGGGCTTAGGGAGGGAGGAGGGGTGTGATGGAGAGAAAGGGCTTAGGGAGGAGGAGGGGTGATGGAGGGAAGGGCTTAGGGAGAGGAGGAGGGGGTGATGGGAGAGAAGGGCTTAGGGAGAGGAGGGGTGATGGAGGGGAAGAGGGAGAGGAGAGGGAGAGGAGAGATGCAGGGGCTTAGGAGAGGAGGAGGGGTGATGGAGAGAAGGGCTTAGGGAGAGGAGGAGGGGTGATGCAGGGAAGAGGCTTAGAGAGAGGAGGAGGGAGGTGATGCAGGGAAAGGGCTTAGGGGGAGAGGAGGAGGAGGTGATGGAGAGAAGGGCTTAGGGAGGAGGAGGAGGGGTGATGCAGGGAAGGGCTTAGAGAGGAGGAGGGGTGGTGCAGATGAAGGAAAGGGCTTAGGGAGAGGAGGAGGGGTGATGCAGGGAAGGGCTTAGGGAGGGGAGGAGGGGTGATGCAGGAAGGGGCTTAGGGGAGGAGGAGTGAGGGGTGTGCAGGGAAGGGCCTAGGGAGGTGGAGAGTGATGATGCAGGAAGGGCTTAGGAGAGGAGGTGGGGGAGGGGAGAGGAGGTGGGGTGACTCAGGGAAGGCCTTAGGGAGAGGAGGAGGGGTGATGGAGAGAATATTGCTAAAAGCGGTGTAAAACCATACTCACCCACTCTGGTGTCCCCTGCCATGATATTGCTGGAATATTGCTGGAAGTTGTGTAAGATCAAACTCACTGACTCACTCTGATGTTACAGGAGGGTTCCTGGCCGTCTACTCAATTGGAGAGAACAAGATTGAGAAGCTTCTCCAGACAGTGGCAGCTGGCATCAACCTGGTGTCCCAATACAAGCTGCTGCGGATCTACCCTGCTGGATCCCGAACAGACTCATCCAACTACAACCCTGTTCCCATGTGGAACCATGGATGCCAAGTTGGTAAGCATTAATGTTTCTGTCTTGTTATTGCACCCCTGTGTTTGGAACCATGAATGCCAAGTTGGTATGCGCTACTTGTTCTGTCTTGTTGTTCCACCCCTTTGTTTGTGTGGAACCTTTGGTGCCAAGTTGGTAAGCACTACTTGTTCTGTCTTGATATTCCACCCGTGTTTGTGTGGAACCATGGATGCTAAGTTGGTAAGCACTGCTTGTTCTGTCTTGATATTCCACCCGTGTTGGTGTGGAATCATGGGTGCAAAGTTGGTAAGCACCACTTGTTCTGTCTTCTTGTTCCACCCCTTTGTTTGTGTGGAACCTTTGGTGCCAAGTTGGTAAGCACTACTTGTTCTGTCTTGATATTCCACCCTTGTTTGTGTGGAACCATGGATGCTAAGTTGGTAAGCACTACTTGTTCTGTCTTGATATTCCACCCCTTTGTTTGTGTGGAACCTTTGGTGCCAAGTTAGTAAGCTCTACTTGTTCTGTCTTGTTATTTCACTGCATTGTTTGTGTGGAACCTTTGGTGCCAAGTTGGTAAGCACTACTTGTTCTGTCTTGATATTCCACCCGTGTTTTGTGTGGAACCATAGGTGCCAAGTTGGTAAGCTCTACTTGTTCTGTCTTGTTATTTAACTGCATTGTTTGTGTGGAACCTTTGATGCCAAGTTGGTAAGCACTACTTGTTCTGTCTTGATATTCCACCCGAGTTTTTGTATGGAACCATGGGTGCTAAGTTTGAAAGCACTACTTGTTCTGTATTGTTAATCCAACCCATTTGTTTGTTGAACCTTTGGTGGCAAGTTGGTAAGCACCACTTGTTCTGTCTTGATATTCCACCCTTTGTTTGTGTGGAACCATGGGTGCCAAGTTGGTAAGCGTTACTTGTTCTCTCCTGATATTCCAGCCGTGTTTGTGTGGAACCATGGGTGCCAAGTTGGTAAGCACTACTTGTTCTGTCTTGATATTCCACCCCTTTGTTTGTGTGGAACCATAGGTGCCAAGTTGGTAAGCGCTACTTGTTCTGTCTAAAGCTACTTGTTCTGTCAAGTTTAAGCACTATTTTCTGTCTTTTTATTTTACCCCTTTGTTTGTGTGGAACCATGGGTGCCAAGTTGGTAAGCACTACTTGTTCTGTCTTGATATTCCACCCCTTTGTTTGTGTGGAACCTACGGTGCCAAGTTGGTAAGCACTACTTTTTCTGTATTTATATCCATTCCCCTTTGCTGATGTTGGTGCCATCCTGGGTAGCACTAATGTCTTTCTCTTTCATTTTCATGTCATGTCACTAATACCTTTTTCTGAATTTCAGTGGCCTTGAACTATCAGACAGGAAGTGAACCTATGCAGTTGAATCATGGGAGATTTATGGATAATGGCAACAGTGGCTATATTCTGAAACCTAATTTCTTACTCTCAGGTACGAGCCTCGTGTCTTGACATTACCCAACCAAATAGCAACTGTCCATATTTCATGTTCATATGTTTCTTACAATGTGTCCCATGGATGCAATACTAGCAAGTCAGTAAGACGGCTGAAATGTTGTGAGACCTTTCACAAAACAGGAAACACTTTTGCTTTGAGTCAGAAGAAAGAAATGTTCGACCATGTTAAATTGTTTGTTGGTGTATTTCCAGAGGAGATGTTCGGTATCGTGAACGGCACCGTCACAAGGAGTAACATGTCCAAAGTCCTGAAAATACTGGTGAGACCAGTTCTTACAATACAGATAGCAAAACATGAATGGATGGTATTGATTGTAACAATTACTGTACTGATATTGTCAAATGGTTTGTTACATGTGTGGGTGCAGTCATGCAGAAGGACAGAATACATTTGAAGAGGGACACTTTCAATCATGGCTTGTGAAACTGAATCCTAAAACTGAAACATATTCTACATGATAGTGTCAATTCTGTGATGAAGGATGTGATGAAGGATTTGATGAAGGATGTGATGAAGGATGAAGGATGTGATGAAGGATGTGATGAAGGATGAAGGATGTGATGAAGGATGTGATGAAGGATGTGATGAAGGATGTGATGAAGGATGGAAGGATGTGATGAAGGATGTAAGGATGTGATGAAGGATGTGATGAAGGATGAAGGATGTGATGAAGGATGTGCAGGGACTCGGGCCACGATAGGTCCAGCACACCATGTTTGTTTGAATCTAACTGAGACAGGAAGTCAGGCGCCATGATGCATCATACTTTAGAATATGTGAATTATTGCTCATACTGTCCATCACTGTTTCTTCATGCGTAAAAAAAACATGAAGATCTGGGGTAGAATAGGTCTTCAGCACCCCCTGCTTGCCACAAAAGGCGACTATGCTTGTCGTAAGAGGCGACTAACAGGATCGGGTGGTCAGGTTCACTGACTTGGTTGACACATGTCATCGGTTCCCAATTGCGCAGATCGATGCTCATGCTGTTGATCACTGGATTGTCTGGTCCAGACTCTATTATTTACAGACGGCCGCCATATAGCTGGAATATTGCTGAGTGCGGCGTAAAACTATACTCACTCACTCATGCGTAAACTTGATTACATACAGACTGTTGTCATGAAACATGCTCGATCACTGGATTGTCTGGTCCAGGCTCGATCACTGCTGATGTGATAAACATACAAACAAACAATTAAATGTAGAAACGAAACAGCCAAACATGTTTGCTGCTTTATTGAATACTTCATGAAATATTTCAATGTTTTATTTTGTCACTGTCATCGTGCTGTTTGCAGATCATCAGTGGCTATCAGATTCCGAAGCCAAAAGATTCTGAGAAAGGGGAGATAATTGATCCATTTGTGAAGATTGAAGTGCATGGAGTGTCCTCTGATTCGAAAGAATACCGGACCAAGACAATCGATAACAATGGTAAAGAACTTTAGCTGCACCATATCTTGAGCAAGGGAATAAGGGTTCAATCCGATGCCCAGCTGCCTGTGCCACTAAACACATCAGATGGTCAGACTGGATAATGTGGTTGATGACATGTCATCATAGCACACACACATAGACCATTGCTTACAATATTAATCAGCAGATTGTCTGGTCCATACTCGATTATAGCCAGGCATCCCTTGTACAGATGGAATTTTGCTGAGGACGGTGTTAAGCAACAAAACAACAACAACACGTCCAGTCTGACCATCTGATTTGTTTAGTGGCGCAGTTCAAATGATAATTGTAGGATGGCAGATCACTGATTTCATACTATTAGTTTATATTTATTTTTTTCTTGCCCAGGTTTCAATCCTCGCTGGCATGAGGTTTTCAACTTCAACATACGGGTGCCGGAGCTGGCCATGCTCCGATTTGTTGTGAAGGATGAGGATCGTGGGAAAGACGATTTCATTGGCTACTACTCTCTACCCTTCACAAGTCTGCAGGAAGGTATGAGTTGTCTCCCCTTGTGTGACGTGATAATGACTGCTTGATGTACCCAAACTTTCACGTCAGTGGCTTTGTTGAATATTTTTAACCATTACCTGTGAAACATGTTTACTTCTCACTGTGAACAAACTTATAGTATGTGTCTGTCCATGCGATATGTATACTAACTATTAGATATTCGAAGTAGTCTTTCCGAGGTAAATATTAGTAATTGATAACTTTGCGTGTATTTGTTTGTTGCAGGTTACCGTCACTTTCCCCTGTTTGACAAACATGGCGACCAGTTCTCCCAGACAGTCATCTTTGCACATATTTCCATCCAAAACGCCCAGAATCCTTGAATGAACATGAGTTGGTAGGTGTCATTAAGTGTCCTGCATTGAATATGAGTTGGGAGGTGTCATTAAGTGTCCTGAATTGAACAGGTGCTATTAAGTGTTCTGCATTGAACATGTAGTATTAAGTGTCCTGCATTGAACAGGTGTCATTGAGTGTCCTGCATTGAACATGTGTTATTAAGTGTCCTGCATTGAACATGAGTTGGTAGGTGTCATTAAGTGTCCTGCATAGAACATGTGTTATTAAGTGTCATGCATTGAGCAGGTGTCATTAAGTGTCCTGATTTGAACATGTGTCATTAGGTGTCCTGCATTGAACATGTGTTATTAAGTGTCATGCATCGAGCAGATGTCATTAAGTGTCCTGATTTGAACATGTGTCATTAGGTGTCCTGCATTGAACATGAGTTGGTAGGTGTGATTAAGTGTCCTGCATTGAACATGAGTTGGTAGGTGTCATGAAGTGTCCTTCATTGAACATGGGTTGGTAGGTGTCATTAAGTGTCCTGCATTGAACATGAGTTGGTAGGTGTCATTAAGTGTCTTGCATTCAATATGAGTTGGTAGGTGCCATTAAGTGTCCTGTATTGAACATGCATTATGAAGTGTCCTGCATTGAACAGGTGTCATTAAGTGTCATGAATTGAACATGTGTTATTAAGTGTCCTGAATTGAACATGTGTCATTTAGTGTCCTACATTGAACATGTGTTAAGTGTCCTGCATTGAACATGAGTTGATAGGTGTCATTAAGTGTCCTGATTGAACATGGTGTGCATTGAACAGGTGTCATTAAGTGTCCATGAATTGAACATGCATTATTAAGTGTTCTGCCTGCAGGTTGAACGGGTGAACAGGTGTCATTAAGTGTCCTGAATTGAACATGAGATGGTAGGTTCATTAAGTTTCCTGCATTGAACATGTGTCATTCAGTGTTCTGCATTGAACATGTGTTATTAAGTGTCCTGTATTGAACCTGAGTCATATAGTGTCCTGCATGGAACATGAGAATGTAGGTGTCATTCAGTGTCCTGCATTGAACATGAGTTGGTAGGTGTCATTCAGTGTCCTGCATTGAACATGAGTTGGTAGGTGTCATTAAGTGTCCTGCATTGAACATGAGTTGGTAGGTGTCATTAAGTGTCCTGTATTGAGCATGAGTTATTAGGTGTCCTGCATTGAGCATGAGTTATTAGGTGTCCTGCATTGGACAGGTGTCATTAAGTGTCCTGCTTTGAACATGTGTTGGTAGGTGTCATTAAGTGTCCTGCATAGAACATGTGTTATTAAGTGTCCTGCATTGATGATGAGTTGATTGGTACCGGTGTCCTTCATCGTACTTGTATCGGTTTGTGTCCATGACTTAACATCATGTGATCTGCCTTGTCTGTTGAAGCATAGTGTTGTGAAATTTGCAAATTTTGTAAGATGAACATTTTGTGGCTGGTGTTTTTGGTTTATAGACACATCTCTGGGAGAATCCATAATACAACACAATGCTAATACCTGTATGTGACACAATTATGCCAAGATTCCATTATTTCAATGGTAATTTCAATTTCTGTTTCAGAGGGGAACAATCTACATCCTGGCAGAGAACTGACTAAGGGAAGCAACTCCTGATGGTTTACAGGCAGTGTAACCAGTCACATGAGAGGGATATACAACTGGCTTATTACATAATAAATAGTACAATGTCATTATCAGCTCTTCTTCACTGAGTATAGGATATATACACCGGCTAGTTAATACAACTATAGTTATGATGTATTGGCTATAGAAAAATATATATAAATACACATGTAAATAATTTCACATATACTTCAAGTAAAAATGTTGATTAATTTGTTGATGTGTTTGTAATAGTCGAGAGTCCTGTTTGACAAGGTGGTCTTATAGCCATTATTGTTGTAACTCTGTGTTAAAGTGTCAGAGATTCAATCATCCTGGCTCTAAGATCACTTTCTGGTTTGGGGCCCTGGTATATGAACAGGTAAATTTGAACTGATTTTGTTTTGTTTTATGACTGCAGGAAATACATCGTTACAAATACTACTGTAGACAGATGTAAGAATAACAATGCGTTAAAGTGCTGAAACGTTGATATGTTTACAGTTGTGTAATGCACACAGTATCCTATCCTGTGTTTGTCATCTGTGGGCTTGACAGCCATCATGGCAACCAGAAAGTGTTCACCCAGTTGACAAACAGAACATGTTGGTTGGTGCTAAGAAAGTGTTCACCAGTGTATGTTGCCGTTGTACCAAACAGCCTTAAGCTATGTTAAGGTATGGGAGTTACGGTCACCTAAGCTAAGCTAAAGATAAGGTATGGGTTTGTAGCTAAGACTACCTTAAGGCAACCAGGTCACCTTAAGCTAAGATCTTTCAAGAAGCAACCTTTAATAAGGTTAACCTTAGCTCCCCTTCTTTAACATTGCATTAAGGTTACCTTAGTGACTTACGATCATCTCAGTGCTTTGTGAAGGGAGGCCCAGAAAGTGAGTCTTTCTCCTTCCTACTTAGATCTGTGTGAGAGGAGTGGGGTAGCCTAGTGGTTAAATCATTTGTTCCTCATGACCTTGTTTCTCCACATGGGTACAATGTGTGACGTCCATTTCTGGTGGCCCTGCTGGAATATTGCTAAAAACGGCATACAAATAAACTCACTCACTCATAAGGACAATATGTGTAATTTATTGTCATTATTTTTTATGAATCTAAGTTTTTTCTAGGGGTATCTGATCTTCATTACTGCAGCATTTAGTATCTGGTAAATGAAACAGATAACATTTCTTTTGAGCAAGAATATGCAATAAAGACAAAATTATGGATAACAACTTGTATCTTTCGTGAGTGCGAGGTTTCGATACAGATTCTTGTACTGTTGTCATTCCTGCTTGTGATTGTGGGTTGTACATGGAACATGAGCTTCTCTGAGTAGCTACACTGCTGCTATAAATATCATGTACAGATCTTCCATTGTATATGCATAATAAAATACTATACTCCATATACCATTTGTATTAGTAGATGGGCAAATTCTGCTGACACTATCTTTGTTTATCTTTTGAAATGTTTTGACATTTTTAGAAGAAATATTGCCATTGCAAAGGTTTAAACATATTTCCTGCATGGAAAATGTAGTTTTGTTGATGTTGTGTTAACTGTTGATGGTTGTGTTTTGACATTTACTAAACGAAGCGTTTTTCTGTTTTGTATACTCACACTCATTTACATATGTATGTCGACCTCTTCATCAAACAGCCTTAGGAGCTCTTGGTTATAGACACGTTGTCTGGTCATGGTATTGATGAAAATTCATTAACGATGGCGTTCATGAGATTCTGCTGTACTTAGATTTGCAGTAACCCCTCTCTATCTTTCTTTCTCATTAACTTGTTTTCTCTTTTCCACTCCCTCCCTCTCCCCTAAGCCCTTACTGCCCTTTTGCTCTTGCCCCCCATCTCCATTCCTTAGCTCTTTTCCTCTCCTCCCTCCCCAACTCTCTCCTTCTTCCTTCCCTCCCCTCTCTCTGTTGCCCCTCCCCTTCTCTCTCTCTTCTCTCTCTCTCTCAGCACAATATATTCAGGTATACTTACATGTACTCAGTGTGACATCATTAATCCATTATTGTTAACCAGGGAAGCTGTTATTCCAGGTGCTGTCCACACAACCATCTGAACTAGCAAGGTTTCATTGTACACTGTAAAAAGGTACTTTAAGAAATATTTATTTCTATTGTAAAGAGCTTTAGTTATCTGTAATTGGGAATACAATTAATGCTGAGGGTTGCTCTGAAAGTATTTGTCTTGGGTGTTGGACTTAGTACATAATGGCTGCTGAATGTGTGAAGTAATAAGATGTGTTTTTGTATGAATGTGGACATATTTTCTTTATTTTCTCAATTTTATTCATATAACGTCATTGAGTTATGTTATAGCATTATGTCATAAAGTTTTCAAAAAATACTTATACACTTGCACATACATTCTAGAAATTATTTTAGGACGTTTAATTTATAACAACGTATCAGTCTTCTGGTTTTGGGACTTTGAATGTTGGGTAGTTGCATTAGAAATTTTCATGACAATATGTTTTATTTGTACGAGATTTAGAGCAAGATTGGTTCCAGTGGAAGCATTCCGGCTATGTGATAAATACATTATAGTACTGGCATCGAATAACAGGACACTATAAACCAGTGTTATACAGACCAAATGTCTTTATTATTTCACTGTGGACTGTTTTCATGTGTATAGTTCCCACCTTGATTCACATTGCATGTGATTCACATTTTAGACCTCTCATGTCATGATCATTGTCAGTTTCATAATATTGCTTTTGAAATGTAAATCACATTATAATTATAATTAATTATAATAAATATTTGTTTTATATCTCCTGTTTTATCTCTGTTATCCTTCATGATGATATTTCTTGTATATATTTATATCTGTTGATTCAACTGTCAAAATAGGCATTTTTAAAATCATAATTCAAAATATAGTTTGTGTATTTTTTGTTTTATGTTTAAGAGCATTTCATTAATTTTTAAAGATAAAAAGAGTTATTATTTACCTATTTATTTGTAATCTTGTTACAAATACAAGAACTTACCAATGTTATTGTTGGGCAACTGATGTTTGTTGAGTATCTGTGTGACTTGTACCCGGTACTTAAATCTATGTTAACATTCATGATGCAAATAATACAAATCTGTAACACATAACATCACATATTAAACATTGTTACAATATTAGTCTGAGATTTAGTCCCAGAATTTCAAAATTATTCTTGAGTAAATAAATATGTTCTCTAACCTACGGGAGGCAGACTACTTCCTTGGTACAGATATAGAATTTTGTGGTAGTGTTACAAATATTGAATTTTGTAGAAATGTTACAAATATTGAATTTTGTAGAAATGTTACAAATATTGAATCTTGTAGCAATGTTACAAATATTGAATTATGTAGCAATGTTACAAATATTGAATTTTGTAGAAATGTTACAAATATTGAATTTTGTAGAAATGTTACAAATATTGAATTTTGTAGCAATGTTACAAATATTGAATTTTGTAGCAATGTTACAAATATTGAATTATGTAGCAATGTTACAAATATTGAATTTTGTAGATATGTTACAAATATTGAATTTTGTAGAAATATTAAAATATTGAATGTTGTAGCAATGTTAAAAATACTGAATCTTGTAGCAATGTTACAAATATTGAAATTTGTAGAAATGTTACAAATATTGAATTTTGTAGCAATGTTACAAATATTTAACTATGTAGCAATGTTACAAATATTGAATTTTGTAGATATGTTACAAATATTGAATTTTGTAGAAATATTACAAATATTGAATTTTGTAGCAATGTTAAAAATACTGAATCTTGTAGCAATGTTACAAATATTGAAATTTGTAGAAATGTTACAAATATTGAATTTTGTAGCAATGTTACAAATATTTAACTATGTAGCAATGTTACAAATATTGAATTTTGTAGATATGTTACAAATATTGAATTTTGTAGCAATGTTACAAATATTGAATTATGTACAAAGAAAATGTCATGATAGGTGCTAATGAAACCTGTGTTGTAATCTGTAATGTAACTGAATGATTCATGTAACATGTGCACTGTTCGCTAGGACTCATCTACAGAGCTGGACTTATAGAGTTTTACAGTTAGCTAGAGCCACACTGTGCATGCTTGGCAATCAATGGTTGAATTCATCACCACTGCCTCTAGTTGATTTAGATATCCCTTATATACAATGGGCACAATGTGTTAAGCCCATTTCTGGTGTCCCCCACCGTGATATTGCTGGAATATTGCTAAAAGCGGCGTAAAACTAAACTCAGTCAGTCAGCCTTATATACAATAGTTTAGGACTGTTTTGTTCTGACTTAATGTTTTAGGGGCAAGATGATGGATTGGTTTTGTTTTGAAAAGAAAAAGAAACTATTTTTCTTTTGGCCTTGAATCGTGGTGGTTAGATATGTAAACACATTGCTGATGTCATGTACAAGAAAATATGTATAATTCATATGAACACATTGATAACATAGAAAGAGTATATAGGTGAGGAAGAAGTGTTTCTGTGGTACAAAGAATATTTACAAATGTAGATTTACATGGATGTGACATAATACTGCTGAGTCAGCATTTTGTTATTTGGCACTTTTGTTCTTTAATCATGATTAATTGTTTACTATTTGTTCAACAAACTGTCAGCTATGTTGGTATGTAAAGGATACACTTGATAGTTAAATTAACTGAAACATGCAATAATACCTTATTGAGTTGAAATTAATATTACTGATAATGTGTATAACTGATAACCATTGCCCTGTCATCCCAAGTTAGAGCCATATGTCTGTCTTGAAGCATCACCACTTGATCTCTTGTGAGAGTGTGCACTGGTACTCATTGAGTCATTAGCTATCCCTATACCAAGTTTAATGAAAACTAGATATTGATTATCTAACCAGTTTTACTGTTAAGCAGTTTTCGACACTTTTGTCACATTTTTTGTGAAAAGATTCTTTTTAGGATATCTGAAATGAAATTGTTTTTACATTATTGCTAGTTTTTTATTCCAGCAATATTAGTGAATAGTTTTTCACGGACATTTGTAATGTAAAAAACTATGTTGTGAAAAGATTCTTTTTAGGATATCTTAAGTGAAATTGTAATTACATTATTGCTATTTTTTTATTCCAGCAATATTAGTGAACAGTTTTCAGGGACATTTGAAACCATAACTATTCTGGTATTTTGTCAGAGTGTAAAGGAATTATATACTATTGTGATGAGGTCGGGTGTTAGTTAATGCAGTTCTGAGACAGGTATTCACTTACTGTACTAAACGTGCATTATATACAGGTAAAACTGGTGTATCTATGTTTCATTGTACATTATAGCTACATTATATATCAGCCACAATGCAACCACGAATCTGTTTATTCCGAAAATAGAATCAAATCGCCCCTTGGGAATTCGTAAACTCTTCTTCCGGAATACACATATTTAGGGTATTTCGTCCTTACATGTGTAAGGATATATTGCCATTTTGAAATGAACCCGTATGTTCCAAGGACTAGATATGCTGTTTATAGCAATACACCTCACTGTCATACTTATAAGTGGCATTACGGCTGAATGGCGACAATACTCAGGCCATGTCACGAAATATTCCATCTCTGAATAAACATCGAAACGTATTTGTTGTCAGTGATTGCGGTACATCTGTTTCCTGTTTGCAAGAGTGTTATAAAAATGGCGGACATTCCTGGGTCACGTGATGTAAAGGTAGTTCACGTTTTTTGGCGGAAGATCAGCGTGAGAATCGCCAGCAGATGGGGAGACGACTGTGTATATGAACCACTGGTACTGACAATGAATACATAATGCCATTTAGAAAGTGGTGAAATGTAACATATGTTATATCTGGGATTACACTTTCTTAGTAAAGTACAGATTCAAGTACTTTTATTAGTGTAAAATTTCCCGAGTCCCTTGCTGGGATTCGAACCACGGACCTTCTGATCCGAAGTCGGACGCCTTGTCCACATGAGGTTAACCCCGTCAGCAAGCTGACAAGGTAAGGATGTCATCGGTGGGACGACTCCACGCCCTGCTACATTAGGTTGAGTCCCATCCGGGATTCGAACCCACACTATCAGAGTGCGTAATCGCCATCACATAAAGTCAACGATCTACCCACTCCGCCACTGTAGTTTCCACTTAAAATGAAGTGGGACAACTGGTAGTCCAGATGACGTACTTGTCTACCCCTCTGACAAGTGTAAATTGGCACGGCTCCCACGGCCGAAAGCTATGATTACATAATGAAATTTAAAAAGTGGTAAAAGTAACCTATGTCACTAGCTGCAAACAGAATGTTTACCACAACACAAGGTCTATATTCCGGTGCAATCAGGTGTTGGGTTTTTATCCCTAGGAATGTTGCAGCCTTGAGTTTCTATCACGCAAAAGACAATGTTTCTACGTCTTGAATGATGAAGTCCAAACCTGCCGCAAAGCCCTGCAGTAAGTCCCCGCATGAAGTAAGTCTTAATTTCCCACATTTTAATACTACTACTACTACTACTAATACTTTATTGCCCAAGAAGGGAATTTGTCTTGCGTTATGGACGCTGGAATTACAATGAATACATATATCCATTACACACACATTACAACACGAACAACATCAGTCACACGATCTGAGGAGCTCTCACAGATCACAGTGAGCAATCAACAGTGGTTAAAATGATTTTAAGTACGTTATAACGTGACCAAATGTTGTTGTTTTCACAGATTCAACGAATGTAAAGGGGAAGGATAAAACTGGACATTAAGAAAATAAATAAATAAACTACAATGTATAACACTTTAAGACTAGCACTGGATACAGAGCAGATACATAAAACACAGTAGAATGCTAAGAATATATAAAACTAGTTTCTGAATGGTGTCCAATCTCACATGGGCTCTTCTTTAATTTAAATGGGAGTCAAAATATTTATGTTTTAGAGCCCGAACATTAGTCAGGAAGTACGCGTTCTAAATTACCTCCACCCTCTCACCCATTCCCCCAACGGACTATAAAGCGACCTGGAACCATACCATCCTTAGACTGATGCTGTGAGGATTAACCCAAGACTTCGGGAGCGTAGACAAGCTTTTGTCCACCCAGCCTGACCACCCAACCATTCAGGCGCCTCTAAGAACCTGCATTGGTTGCTAGGGACCAATTCAAACACAGAGTGAGTGAGTGAATGTGGTTTTACGCCGCTTTTAGCAATATTCAAGCAATATCACGGCGGGGGACACCAGAATTGGGCTTCATACATTGTACCCATATGGGGAATCGAACCCGGGTCTTCAGCGTGACGAGCATACGCTTTAACCACTAGGCTACCCCACCACCCCTCAATCACGGATTCAAAGCGGGTGGAGATACACAACTTCATGTGTAACAGAAAAAACAACCACCCGAAGAGATGCAGGTCTGTGAGCGGAACCCTTGCCACCTTGGACCCCACAAGATGCAGGTCTATGAGCGGAACCCTTACCACCTTGGACCCCATAGGATGCAGGTCTATGAGCGGAACCCTTGCCACCTTGGACCCCACAAGATGCAGGTCTATGAGCGGAACCCTTGCCATCTTGGACCCCACAAGATGCAGGTCTATTAGCGGAACCCTTGCCACCTTGGACCCCACAAGATGCAGGTCTATGAGCGGAACCCTTGCCACCTTGGACCCCACAAGATGCAGGTCTATGAGCGGAAGCCTTGCCACCTTGGACCCCACAAGATGCAGGTCTATGAGCGGAACCCTTGCCACCTTGGACCCCACAAGATGCAGGTCTATGAGCGGAACCCTTGCCACCTTGGACCCCACAAGATGCAGGTCTATGAGCGGAACCCTTGCCACCTTGGACCCCACAAGATGCAGGTCTATGAGCGGAACCCTTGCCATCTTGGACCCCACAAGATGCAGGTCTATGAGCGGAACCCTTGCCATCTTGGACCCCACAAGATGCAGGTCTATGAGCGGAACCCTTGCCACCTTGGACCCCACAAAAGAAAGAAGAGGAGGAGGAAGAAAAAGACGCATTATCCACTGGAAATCGTTTAAACCCCGGACAACTATTTATCTGTCTGATGACGCTTTTAATACACCAGAGCGCTCCATTAACAAAAAGCTTCTACAAACGAGCATAACAGAGAAATGGATTTCATAAAATGCTTTATTTTATTGGCTCTGGAAACGAAATAATTAAGACAATATGAGGCACATTATCAACTGAATACTGTTTTGTGGCAAAGCGTCATTTGAGCATCCTCCAAGGTAAGTGCCTCCTGGTGAAATTTCATCTGTAACACATTGTCCAGTTTGGGAGTCCTACCACGATCTTTCCAAAATGACTTGTGTTTCCTGTTTGTACAAAAGTAACTTGACTCAGACACTGTCACGTGTACAGCAGGGGGTGTTTCCACAAACTCTTCAATGTGCGCGAGGTCAGTCTGCGAGCATCATAACAGTCCAGCATTTTCCTACATTACTCGAGTTCTAAACATCGACGACAAAACCTTTATCATGTCGTAAAGTTGAGACATTAGAGAAAACGGTATTATTTGGTCATGATGGCATAGAACTCTCTCTTTTCAAATATCAGTTTATGAATTCCGAGACATTAGTTGCAATTGAATGTACATGTATATTTGAATGTAAACAGACCGTGGTACAGATTAACCATTTCACTTCAATTCGATAGGAGATGCCCACCCTCACTTGTAGTGTGGAATAAAAAGCATTCACTGGTATGTTCCGGATTTTATTTTTCCAATACCAATAATTTTTTGATTTTTCTTTAACAGTGAACATTTTTCTGAAAAAAAGATCCAAATATCATCTTGGCCAATCAAATTATTCTGTTATTGAATCGGTAAAATTATTTTATTATGCTTTCAATGTTAAAAGTTTGAATGAATTGACGTATATTCTATTGTAGACTTTCTCCGAGATAATTTCGTCTTTTCTGACAATTGTCAATAGTTCAGCGAGTATATTGACTGATATTTGACGAAAATGTTTTGGCATACTGCTTAGAAAACAGGAACTCTAGGAGAATGCTACTCCGAAATGATATTTGCACTTCAAGAATGAGTTCACTTCTCTTGTGGGAAGATCACAATCTTCTTTCCTGTTTGCATGCTGTTTATTATCTTCAATGAAAGTATTGTTTCTTCGTCGGTCGCTCATAAAGTGTTTATTTGTCTGGGTAGGGTCCGGCCATGACCTTGGAGATGAAGTCCTCGTACTTGACGTTGCCCTCCAGATCTTCTCTCAAGTCGGTGCACTTTATGATGTCGTCCATCTGGGTGTCGGTCAGTCGGTCTCCCAGAGATGTCAGAACGTGCCTCAACTCAGCAGATGAGATGAAGCCCTGACCCTCTCTGTCGAATGTCTTGAAAGCCTCCATGAAGTCGGCGTAGGTGCCTGTGTCCTTGATCTGCATGACGGTCTGATAGATGGGCAGGAACTCCTCCAGTTTGTAGTTCTTCTCTCCAAACTTCTCCACACCTCCGTTCTTCATGATGGTGGTCATGGTAGGGTTGAGGCCCAGACAGTACAACATGTCGCCGGTCTTGGCAGCGTCGACGGCGCCATCACGACCATCCCAGAAATCGAAAAGGTCGAACACCTCTGTGACCTCTTCAATCTCGTCCTTTGATAGTTGAGGCTGAAACACAGATGTCATGTAATCAGAATACCGTTAGAAGCAACAAGGTATAGGCTTATATCATAATCATGTACGATTGATTATTTGGATAAATTTAAGTTGGGAAACATGAGTTGCAGGAGAGCAATTCTAACCCTGAGCTTTAAATCCGATCATGTTTCAAAAAATATATAGACCAATTGAATTTTGCTGATTTATTAGTTTGCTCAACAATACCGGTCAAAATTTTAATGCGCCAAATGCACAAAGGGGGCAGTTGATATATAGATGCGCATCGCAGCCACAGGTGGTGTAAACTGCTTGTGATAATGGACTAGTGAGCAAGGAACAGTTCGTATGTCGTCCATTCACAATTGAAACAAGATATGTCCTTATTTAAATGAATAATGACCAGTGTCCACAAAGTTTTAAACAATCAAACCATCACCTCATTGGTATAGTGGAAGGGTTGATGGCCGGACAGCGGAAGGTCAGTGGTTCCACCCTTGGTACAGACAAACCAATGATGCTATCTACTGTTACCCTTCCCTGCACTCGAAGTTGAGGGGATTTACTTCTTAGGGGCGGTGGGGTAGCCTAGTGGTTAAGGAGTTCGCTCGTCATGCTAAAGACCCGGGTTCGATTCCCCACATGGGCACATTGTCTGAAGCCCATTTCTGGGTTCCCCCTTCGTGATATTGCTGGAATATTGTTAACAGCGGCGTAAAACCCAACTTACTCAGTCACTAGTTCTGAGACTGTATTTAGAGTCTGGATGGTTTAGCTATGTTAAACCACTAGGGAAAGTTATGTTCATTGTTCTTGGAAGTGTTTCATTAGCATAACTGAATAACTACCCTAGTGCAATTATTTCTCTTTAAAAACAATAAAAATCGTACTTATTTTGATAATCTTCATCATGCCTAATACGTTACACGCGTATTGAATAAGTTTGCCCTCGTGGTGTAAGCCGTTTAATCGCCCTCACTACGGTAGTTATTTAAATTTAAATAAACTCTGCTCGGTCTATATCCCTCGCAGAGTTTATTTAAATAACTACCTTGTAAGGGTGATTAACCTATACTAAAAACTCCGGCATCGTGGGTCCCTGGGCTCGTACTCTAAAAACGACATTAGTGTGGACTAATATAGCCACACTTATATACGTCACTACATCTCTTCGTAAGTCTTGTAATCTTTGACGCGACTTAAACCCCACTTGAATCATCAGTCGAAGGTAATAACGTTTTACGGAGAAGGTAAACCTGATGAAAGTCTGTGAAATAACGCTTTACCACACACAAACAAAACAACCCAGGAAGCCCTCAGCAAACTTACCATGTTCATAGGTGAAATGTGCAGATCGGACGATTGAGGAATCCTTGAGGAGCCGGTGCTTGTGGAATGAGCGTTTGCTCTCACTACTTATACCCACAGATAGCAACCATCAGCCACCCCACTGTGCCCCCCTCCCTTTATAACGCCCGACCCCCTCCCAATAACTACTTAAGTGTGGCCATGTGTCCGTCATGGGATCCTGCCCCCCATGAACTCCCCCTTTCGCCAACCCGACCCCCTCTATATTATACATAGCCCCTCCCATCATTAACACCCCCGATCTATGTCTACCCCCACCCTACCACCCGTTCCCTCAGATGGACCCCGGAGAGCATGCTGGGAGGTAATATACTGCCATAATGGTAGCGCTGTATTACGTAATGTTTGTGTGGTTTTGATAACCTTGAAATCACTGAGCTGTATGAATGTATAATAACCTTTATGCCGTTATGGGTCACTTCTAATAGTTACCGAACACCCGCCTCACCCCCACGACGTTAGCTGTTGTGGTTCATTCACCCTCACTGTGCAGTTACTCATTGAATGTATCATTCTAAAACGATACTTCGTGATCAGGCATTAACCTATTGCAAATCCTATGTTAACGAACCATCGTTACTGGAGTGAATACTTGTTTTCAGAGTTACTGATATCCAGAACACGCTGGGTCTATGTAAGTCCATGATACATTGTTACAGGTGTTACAGGTGTAGGTTATGTCAGTGTTTATCAGTGTACGTTGTGTCGACGTAGGTTTTGTCAGTGTTCATCAGAGTTCGATGTGTAAACGTAGGTTGTGTCAGTGTTTATCTGAGTACGTTGTGTCAGTGCTGATCAGAGTACGATGTGTCGACGTAGGTTTTGTCAGTGTTTATCAGAGTACGTTGTTAAACCGTCAGTTGTGTCAGTGTTTATCAGGTACGTTGTGTCAACGTAGGTGTGTGTCAGTGTTTATCAGCGTACGTTGTGTCAGTGTTTATCAGAGTACGTTGTGTCAGCGTAGGTTGTGTCAGTGTTTATCAGATGCAATGCCCTCCTTTAATGGAGGTTGTGTCAGTGTTTATCAGAGTACGTTGTGTTAACGTAGGTTGTGTTATGTCAGTCAGTGTTTATCAGAGTACGTTGTGTCAGTGTTTATCAGTGTACGTTGTGTCCACGTAGGTTTTGTCAGTGTTTATCAGAGTACGTTGTGTTAACGTGTTTATCAGTGTTTATCGTTATGTCAGTGTTTATATCACGTACGTTGTGGTGTTTGTCAGCGTTAACGTACGTCTGAGTCAGTGTTTATCAGAGTACGTTGTGTCAGTGTTTATCAGCGTACGTTGAGTCAGTGTTTATCAGAGTACGTTGTGTCAGCGTAGGTTGTGTCAGTGTTTATCAGTGGAGGTTGTGTCAGTGTTTATCAGGGTACGTTGTGTCCACGTAGGTTGTGTCAGTGTTTATCAGCGTACGTTGAGTCAGTGTTTATCAGAGTACGTTGTGTAAGCGTAGGTTGTGTCAGTGTTTATCAGTGGAGGTTGTGTCAGTGTTTATCAGGGTACGTTGTGTCCACGTAGGTTGTGTCAGTGTTTATCAGTGGACGTTGTGTCAGTGTTTATCAGAGTACGTTGTGTCAGCGTAGGTTGTGTCAGTGTTTATCAGTGGACGTTGTGTCAGTGTTTATCAGCGTACGTCAGTGTTGTGTGTTTTGTCAGTGTTTATCAGTGGTACGTTGTGTCAGTGTTTATCAGTAGGTTGTGTCAGTGTTTATCAGTGGAGGTCGTGTCAGTGTTTATCAGGGTACGTTGTGTCCACGTAGGTTGTGTCAGTGTTTATCAGAGTACGTTGTGTAAGCGTAGGTTGTGTTAGTGTTTATCAGTGGAGGTTGTGTCAGTGTTTATCAGGGTAGGTTGTGTCAACGTAGGTTGTGTCAGTGTTTATCAGTGGAGGTTGTGTCAGTGTTTATCAGTGGAGGTTGTGTCAGTGTTTATCAGCGGAGGTTGTGTCAGTGTTTATCAGTGGAGTTTGTGTCAGTGTTTATCAGTGGAGGTTGTGTCAGTGTTTATCAGTGGAGGTTGTGTCAGTGTTTATCAGTGGAGGTTGTGTCAAGTGTTTATCAGGGTACGTTGAGTGTGTATCACGTAGGTTGTGTCAGTGTTTATCAGTGGAGTTTGTGTCAGTGTTTATCAGTGGAGGTTGTGTCAGTGTTTATCAGTGGAGGTTGTGTCAGTGTTTATCAGGGTACGTTGTGTCCACGTAGGTTGTGTCAGTGTTTATCAGTGGAGTTTGTGTCAGTGTTTATCAGTGGAGGTTGTGTCAGTGTTTATCAGCGGAGGTTATGTCAGTGTTTATCAGTGTACGTTATGTCGGTGTTATCTTTGTCAGTGAAGTGTGTCCGTTATCAGTAGCGTTGTCTGAGTATCTGTGTGAGTGTGGTTTCACACTTTGTATGTTAATACTCCAGCTAGACCACGTCGGGAGACAGAAGAAATATGGTTTTGCGCCAACTTCTTGGCTACTCTCCAACCCACTTAGCGTAGTGTTTCACATATTGCTCTGATAAAGAAGACGCCAGATTAATTGACATAAACTGAGCCATAATCTGTTTATTATTTTACCTTTACCTTGCCACAAACGTATGTTTGATTCGAATGTTTTAAGGTGCCTCAGTTCCCTATGCAGAGTTGCGTCCCTTGGTGTGTCCGACCTCAACAGTCGTTGGTCCAATCCTACATTCGCCCTGGCTTGTTCAAGATTCTTCAGCATATACATGGTATTATAAATATACATTTTGACTATTTTAATTTGACGTTTGCAACATTATATTCATCAGTACAAGATATTTACTGTTGAACAGACATTTCACTATTTGAATAGACATATTGCTTATCGTTTACGGAGAAATTAAATCGTTCGAAAAAGGAACCATTTGATGGTGCGCGGAACCTCTTCTGCAAATGTTCCTGTGTGTAGTAGATCAGCTCGAGCACTTGATGAGGAGATTAGTCCAAGAAGCAGACCCCATACCACACATCTGGCGTGCGAGGGAGGGGGTTATGTCGTAAGTACAGATGAGGAGAGAGCTACAAGAGCCCTTGAACCAGAATCAACCCTCTCAAATACAAATGTTTATATATCGGATATGTATATTTACAGAGATTGCACCATGATATTCTTCCATATCCGCTAAACATTTAAAGGTATGTACCACTGAAAGCGTATGACATTAAGCATATGAGAAGCGGCGAGGCTAAAATCATGATTAAGACACCTGGCACTTTTGTCTTAAAACAACTATAAGACTTATCAGATGAGAAATATCACAATTTCCGACTCCTTAGACAATGACATTTAGGGACCGTTCATAATGTATGGCTAGGGGGAGTGATGATGTTTTTTTTATGGAGAAGCATGTACAATGTGAATGACACCCCCCAAATTTATTTACAAAGTAAGTGACCCCCCTTGCATGACATGTACAAAATCAATGACGACCCCCCAGTACATGTGTACAAAGTTGATGACAACCACCCCCTCACTCCCCACCTAGGCAGATTCGATCCCCGACCGCGTCATACCAAAAGACGTTAAACTATGGTATTTGTTGGTCCCTGCCTGGCGCTCGGCATTATTAGGTACAACAAGGACTGGTCGGCTCGGAGTCAGTATACTGTGTCTGAGTGGGGTAATCATGCTTCACTGCGGCATGGTATCTCAGTGAGCTAGCACTATAAAACCAGCTTAAGTCTGGGCTAGTACAAGCAGCCGCACATACACATACACACGCATGCACGTCATCATATGAGCGAAATATTCTCAAGCACGACCTTAAACCCAATTTCACCTCACCTCACCACCTAGGCAGAACAAAATGGGTGACACCCCCTTAAAATCATCATCACTCCCCCAGCCATAATTCCCTTTATCCCCCCGTAGCGGCCATCTTGTCGATTCTCAAGCTGGTTTACCTGATCCAGGCATGTGTGCAGTCTGCACACCTCGGGATGTTGTTGACAACACATCGCTCATTGTTTTGTCTATAAAGACAGCGAAACTTTTCGTACTAATCATTTTTATTCCGCAACTACTGGCTACAACATACTACATGCTACACTACATCTACATGTATCGATATTATTACTCCAGTGGAATATATTTACAGGGGAAGCTAAAGCTATCTAACTATTGCAGGCATTTTCTATGTACAACAGGAAGCCTGTACATCTATGTACAGAGGAAGTAGACAAGAGTTTGATTGCCTGGCTGTCCACCACGACACTGAAGGTCAGTGTTGAATCTGTCCGTGTGTTTGTAACAGTTACACACATATCTGTTTCTTCGTCGGTCGCTCATACATACATGTATCCAGATGACAGCATCTATTTGTCTGGGTAGGGTCCGGCCATGATCTTGGAGATGAAGTCCTCGTACTTGACGTTGCCCTCCAGATCCTCTCTCAAGTCGGTGCACTTGATGATGTCATCCATCTGGGTGTCGGTCAGTCGGTCTCCCAGAGAGGTCAGAACGTGCCTCAACTCAGCAGATGAGATGAAACCCTGGCCCTCTCTGTCGAATGTCTTGAAAGCCTCCATGAAGTCGGCGTAGGTGCCTGTGTCCTTGATCTGCATGACGGTCTGGTAGATGGGCAGGAACTCCTCCAGTTTGTAGTTCTTCTCTCCAAACTTCTCCACACCTCCGTTCTTCATGATGGTGGTCATGGTAGGGTTGAGTCCCAGACAGTACAACATGTCACCGGTCTTGGCAGCATCGATTTGGCGCCAT